TAAGTGATGTCACATGTACACAATGTGATGATCACCAGACATCGCACATGACCATCATGTGATCACCAGATCTGTTTGTCTTTTTACATCGATTTACTATTCAACGAGTTACTTCCTTCTTCATATTCCAAATGATTAGTGTATGTCATATATTGATTGACTCTGCTGGGGGGCTACAATCCCCTGAGGTTGACCATAACAGTGTAGCTGGAAGGTGTTCTGGCAGGTTTACATTAAATACATATCTGTACTTCGGTTGTATCCTCCAATTGTCAAGTCGGAACTCTATGAGCGGTTTTATAGACACCATGTCCCTTACTCTATATTTATACTTGTGTTTCAGAACATTTCAGACTTTGATTTTCATCCTTTTGACCTTTAATGCTACTGATAAGTCCTTAATAGGTGAAAAAGACATATATTGTGTTGTAAATATAATTACTTGGCTTTATTTATCGACACACTAAATTTGAAATATCTTTATTCATATTAATGGTTCTTTTTTTTGTGTCAAGTAATTGTTGACCATACTAGAGGACTATCAATCCTCCAGGTTGGCCGTAACCTTATAAAGTTGTCTTTATCCAAAGGTTGGGACTTTGGTATAAAAATTGCATAGGTACCTTTCCCTATCTTGTATTTCTACCTGTATTTCTACCTGTATTTGGTTCCCTATCTTGTATTTCTTTCTGTATTTCTACCTGTATTTGGTTCCCTATCTTGTATTTCTTCCTGTATTTCTACCTGTATTTGGTTCCCTATCTTGTATTTCTACCTGTATTTCTACCTGTATTTGGTTCCCTATCTTGTATTTCTTCCTGTATTTGGTTCCCTATCCTGAATTTTTACCTGAATTTGGTTCCCTGTCCTGTGTTTCTTCCTGTATTTTGTTCCTTATCCTGTAATCCTACCTGTATTTGGTTTCCTATCCTGTATTTCTACCTGTATTTCTTCCTGTGTTTCGTTCCTTATCCTGTAATCCTACCTGTATTTGGTTTCCTATCCTGTATTTCTACCTGTATTTGGTTCCCTATCCTGTATTTCTTCCTGTATTTTGTTCCTTATCCTGTAATCCTACCTGTATTTGGTTTCCTTTCCTGTATTTCTACCTGTATTTGGTTCCCTATCGTGTAGTTCTACCTGTATTTGGTTCCCTATCTTGTATTTCTACCCATTTTTGGATATGGACTTTCATTCTTTTGACAATACGTTCCATTGATGAATACTAAATGGACGAAATACACAAAATGGGTGCATACACAAACCAGCGAGCTAGTTTAATTGGTCTATTATTGTCATACACAAACCAGAAGTTCCTATTTAGCCATTACATTTACTAAAATTCTGTCAGGCTCATGGTTAGAATTATCCGCCAAAATTACCCTTAAGGTGACTTCAAATAGTGGTGGTAACCCTGTTAAGTGCTAATTTTCGTAATACACCGACAGTATACTCGACACGAGGACAATATACTCGACACGAGTATTACCAACACCGACAGTATACACGACACGAGTATTACCAACACCGACAGTATACTCGACACGAGTATTACATACACCGACAGTATACTCGACACGAGTATTACCTACACCGTCAGTATACTCGACACGAGTATTACCTACACCGACAGTATACTCGACACGAGTATTACCTACACCGACAGTATACTCGACACGAGTATTACCTACACCGACAGTATACTCGACACGAGTATTACCTACACCGACAGTATACTCGACACGAGTATTACCTACACCGACAGTATACTCGACACGAGTATTACCTACACCGACAGTATACTCGACACGAGTATTACCTACACCGACAGTATACTCGACACGAGTATTACCTACACCGACAGTATACTCGACACGAGTATTACCTACACCGACAGTATACTCGACACGAGTATTACCTACACCGACAGTATACTCGACACGAGTATTACCTACACCGACAGTATACTCGACACGAGTATTACCTACACCGACAGTATACTCGACACGAGTATTACCTACACCGACAGTATACTCGACACGAGTATTACCTACACCGACAGTATACTCGACACGAGTATTACCTACACCGACAGTATACTCGACACGAGTATTACCTACACCGACAGTATACTCGACACGAGTATTACCTACACCGACAGTATACTCGACACGAGTATTACCTACACCGACAGTATACTCGACACGAGTATTACCTACACCGACAGTATACTCGACACGAGTATTACCTACACCGACAGTATACTCGACACGAGTATTACCTACACCGACAGTATACTCGACACGAGTATTACCTACACCGACAGTATACTCGACACGAGTATTACCTACACCGACAGTATACTCGACACGAGTATTACCTACACCGACAGTATACTCGACACGAGTATTACCTACACCGACAGTATACTCGACACGAGTATTACCTACACCGACAGTATACTCGACACGAGTATTACCTACACCGACAGTATACTCGACACGAGTATTACCTACACCGACAGTATACTCGACACGAGTATTACCTACACCGACAGTATACTCGACACGAGTATTACCTACACCGACAGTATACTCGACACGAGTATTACCTACACCGACAGTATACTCGACACGAGTATTACCTACACCGACAGTATACTCGACACGAGTATTACCTACACCGACAGTATACTCGACACGAGTATTACCTACACCGACAGTATACTCGACACGAGTATTACCTACACCGACAGTATACTCGACACGAGTATTACCTACACCGACAGTATACTCGACACGAGTATTACCTACACCGACAGTATACTCGACACGAGTATTACCTACACCGACAGTATACTCGACACGAGTATTACCTACACCGACAGTATACTCGACACGAGTATTACCTACACCGACAGTATACTCGACACGAGTATTACCTACACCGACAGTATACTCGACACGAGTATTACCTACACCGACAGTATACTCGACACGAGTATTACCTACACCGACAGTATACTCGACACGAGTATTACCTACACCGACAGTATACTCGACACGAGTATTACCTACACCGACAGTATACTCGACACGAGTATTACCTACACCGACAGTATACTCGACACGAGTATTACCTACACCGACAGTATACTCGACACGAGTATTACCTACACCGACAGTATACTCGACACGAGTATTACCTACACCGACAGTATACTCGACACGAGTATTACCTACACCGACAGTATACTCGACACGAGTATTACCTACACCGACAGTATACTCGACACGAGTATTACCTACACCGACAGTATACTCGACACGAGTATTACCTACACCGACAGTATACTCGACACGAGTATTACCTACACCGACAGTATACTCGACACGAGTATTACCTACACCGACAGTATACTCGACACGAGGACAGTATACTCGACACGAGGACAGTATACTCGACACGAGTATTACCTACACCGACAGTATACTCGACACGAGGACAATATACTCGACACGAGTATTACCTACACCGACAATATACTCGACACGAGTATTACCTACCCGACAGTTTACTCGACACGAGTATTACCTACACCGACAGTATACCCGACACGAGTATTACCTGACACGAGTTTTACCTACATTCAATATTGAAGCTGGTTATAATGTTTGTTCAAGACTGAGGCTTTCGCTGTATGTATATATGATCGAAATTGATGAAATATTTTGCGAGCAATAAAAGTGCAATATTTGAATTTTATTAAACATATGTTGATTTATCTAACCATATACGTTACGTAATCAATTTTTTGTATGACGCCTAAGCCTATATAGCTATATATATACTGTAGATTAATCGAAAATGATATTGATATATCATATTCTGTTTGCTTGATGAATGTGACACAATTAACACTTCGGTTCAGCTACTATAACCAATCACATATATTTCATCATATCAGACTTTAGATAGTTGATTTATATCATCATAAATATTACTTCGTGTCACGTGACTGCTGACTGATAACGATAACGCGGCGGACAAGTTAAAGCATCTCGTACAGGAGTTGTCACCAAAAGTATCACTATCACAGGGAACTGACACTATTCTATAACAGTTGTAGGAATATTTACTTAATAACAAACCTTGATAAAGGGAGATAATAATACGTCTAATTAAAGTCAATATACAATATATGTATGTATACATACTATACAAATTATATATCATTTAAAAAATATATGTGTTTTTCAACGATGTACTTTAAAATTGTACGAAATATTTGATAATAGAATTACTGCAATATTTCTACCCCTCCCTTAATGACCGGAAAAGACACTATTTTTAGCATACGCTATTTTATACACGCTGCTTTCAATATTTATCAAAGAAGCCAAAGGCCAGACTTTAAACAAGAAACAATTAACATAATAATGTTCAGTGTTCCCCGGATTTGTTATTTCTTGCATTCACGAGGTCCCCAGACCTTCGATATTTATCATGTCTTCAGGGTTCATTATTTCTTTTGTCCCCTGGGGTTCGTCATTTCTTATGTCCCCTATGTAATTACCCCATCCATCTTTTTAATTGTGATAAAAATCTGTTATATGTCTGTACCCTATGGTCGATGTATCAGTTATCAGATACCTCTCCATGCTATCACTTAACCCTTGTGCACATGTGGTTTCCTCTAGATAATATGCACCCGACCCCTGTTAACATGTGGTTTCCTCTAGATCATATGCACCCGATCCCTGTGCACATGTGGTTTCCTCTAGATCATATGCACCCGACCCCTGTGAACATGTGGTTTCCTCTAGATCATATGCACCCGACCCCTGTGCACATGTGGTTTCCTCTAGATCATATGCACCCGACCCCTGTGAACATGTGGTTTCCTCTAGATCTGCACGCTATCACCTGTTACCTGTACACATTTGGTTGGTAAATATCAGTCACATGACCATATGTACGTTATCACATCATAGCTGTAAATAAGTGTATTGTAGGGACAGGGGTAAACCTGATATATTTGTGGAGATGACACCAGTTTACAGAAAATGACCGACAGTAACCATCACCACGGACACTGAGAAAGGTACAGTAAATATATTTACACTGACCAATAGTAAAGTAAAACCACCAAAAGTGTACTGTCTGACCATTATAGTGGTCAGTAGAAGTAGTGACCACGCAATTGTGTACATATATTTATATGGACGCAAGACTGGCGTAGTTCCCAGTTTATAGTGATCAGCTTTGTACTGTAGTGCTCAGCTTTGTACTGACCACATCGGTGTAGTGCTCAGCTTTGTACTGACTACACAAGTATTCGTATAGTGACCAGAAGTTATCAGTTGTGTGTACGAACTAACAACATAAGTGAACACGGTCACTGTACACTCGTAATTCAATGGTCACCACTTAAATTTGTTGTACATCACCTTATTTACTGTAAATCGCTCAATTTTCGCGAATAATCATTCTGAAATTTTGCTTCAAAAGAATAATTTGTGAGGACTAAATTCGCGACTAATATCAATATGCATTGTTTTTGTTCAAGAGAGACATGAATAACTGCTATACAATACATTTATAGTTACAGTACAAAGTTCGGTCGGAGTAGCCGAGTTTCTGATTACACAGTAAAAGCACGGTCAGAACAGACAGAGATCTGGATTATAAGGTACAAATCGTGGTTGGAGTTTACGTGTGTCTAATTACAAATCACAAAATTTTGTCGGAGTAGATGGGTTCTGGATTATACAGTACAAGGCTCGGTCAGAGAAGACTTTTGGTTGGTTTGGTTTAGTTTTGGTTTAGTTTGGTTTAGTAGTGTTTAGTTTGGTTTAGTTTGGTTTAGTACTGTTTAACGTCCTACCAACATCTATGGTCATTTAAGGACGGCCTCCTCTGTGTGCAAGATGCATGCGTGTAGTGTATGCGTGTGTGTTTTGGGAGGCTGCGATATGGTCGTATGTGTCTCCTTGTGATAGCGCGGAACTGATGCCGACTTTATATTGCTACCTCACTAAAACATACTGCCGAAGACACCCAGCAGGACACCTCACTCGGTCACATTATACTGACAACGGGCGAACCAGTCGTCCCACTCCTAAATTGCTGAGCTTTAAGCAGGAGTAGAAACTAACATTTTTACAGACTCTGGTAGTCTCGGCCAGGGAACAGAACCCAAAGCCTTCCTCACAGGGGCGAACGCTCAACTAATGGTCAAAAGTTAGGCATTGGGCAGAGAGACATTAGGAAGAAGAAAGTTGTTTAGAAAGAAGAGAAAAGATAAGATCCCGAATTTAGTCGCCTCTTACCATCATGCAATTGGGGCAGCAGGTACAATTCTTACGCCCTACCTGCAGGGACCGTCGGAGAAGACGCGTTCCTGATTACACAATATATATAACTTGGTCGGTGTAGGCAGTGTGGAACCTTATCGCCAGATCAGAATCCGGACTCCATATAATAATTATTTTTGTCAAATACATGTAGTTATTTGTGATTGGAGCAGTTTTGTATACCTGATACTTCTAGTTTTGCAAAGACCATTCGTACAGTATCTGCGCGGCACACGCCTTAACAACCAGTTCCGTTCTACTTCCGGTTAAACGGATTCCAGATCAGACATAACTTTTTCCCGATTTATTATCATTTACGTATAAATATTGCCAGTGTGACGGAAGTAATTAAAACGTTGAAATATAGGGTCGTTATCATAGTCTACATCACATCAATACCATCTGCACTTAAGGTCTGGCCTGTTTCTATATGACTACTTCTTAACTGACCAAGAATGTTTCCGCAATATTTTTTGACATCAATGTTTAGTTTTGCGCATTGTTCTATTGCATGCATGCAAGTGTACAACACATATCTACATATATGGTAGCTTTAACTGGAAAGTTGGAGGGGGGTTCCCTTAATAACGACATATTTGATTGGTACATGTATTTTACTTATTTTCTTTTCTTTCATTCATTACACGTCATTACTCGAATCAATTCTTTACGTGTTACAGAAAATCCCGACAGGAAAAATGTCGGCTGAGCTACCATTGGTTACTTCATCAGAAGATACAGGGGACTACTTCCGGTGTGACCTTCATGCAAAGCGCCTGGAGTATCTGTGTGACACACATGGGTATCACGTGTGCGCGGACTGTGCGGTGTTCGATCACAGAGACTGTATCATTGTCTCCACGAAAACGACAAGCAAACACAAGAAATTATCCTGCAACATCTCTCCAGTTCTCATACTGGCCGCACATCGCATCGGAGATGTGAATCCGAAACTCGGCCGACTCTTACAAAGTCGGGACGCAGTGTCGCTTACCCTAGACAACTATTACCAGAAGCTTAGAGATGCGATCGACGCCGCTGAAAGTGAACAATATTCACAACTGGATTTTCTCTTTAACATAGAAGAAACCCGTCTCTTGGCCTGGAAGGACGAGTGTCAACAGCTGATGGACAAAGCAAAGACTCGACTAGAGAGTGTCAGGAAAGGGGAAACAACTTCTATTGATAAAATTACCAAGGAAATAGGGCTCATTAAGACGCACCTTGAAGATAATCTACGAGGAAATGACACAAACGTGTCATTCACTTTTGTGGGGGACACAGACTTTGACAAAGACGTGGAAACGTTTTCGCTGCTTCCGGGTAAAATTGTCGTAAAGCACGAACCTTTGGTCACGCGTGCACAACCAGAAAGCAACGACGAGAAAGAGTGGACAGGAATCAACCCGCAATCACCTGCTATTTTGTCTGAAAGTGATTCCGAAAATTTCGTGGATATTCCCCTGGATGGAGCAACGTCAAACTCGATCAATAAAGGCGATGCCGTGAATATCAAACTGCAAGAAGAAACGCAAGATGACGTCGCTGAAAGACGAAGCTCAAGTTATGATGAAACAGCACAAGAAAATAAAATCCTTGAATGTGTAGATCCATCTTCTTTGTCCTTGTCTACTCGTGGAAGATCGATGTCTGTGATGAATGCCGGGTACTCTCTCACTTTGAAGAGTTCAATAAACGCGCGCATGCCCAGTGACAACTCCCCCAGCTGGTTAACAGGTGCCACGTTTCTTGTTAACAACAGTATAGCACTGGCAGACAGAAAGAACAAAAAAATCAAACTATTTTCAAGTGCCCTTCACTGTATCTCCGAAGTGGTCATACCGTCTTACCCTTTCGACATTGCTCAGACAGGAGACTTCAACTTAGTAGTGACTGTACCCAGAAATAAGCGCGCACTCTTCTTCCACTCAGAGGATCTTAAAACGTGTCCAATGTTTATTGACACGGAGCAGACATGTCTTGGTGTGTCTTGCTCAAAAGAGGTAATCGCCATCGTGTGCGAGACGTCATGGACCAAATCTATCACCATTAAACTATACGACAATTCTGGGTCCTTGACTCGTAAAGTCTCAAAGATCGACGACAATCGGGAATTGGCATTTACGTCTGATTATATTTCTATTTGCCCCGTATCTGGAAACATTGCATTCAGAAATGGCGTCAATTTGTTTTATACAACATCAGAGGGTGATCTTTTATGGAAATCTATTATTCCAAACCAGTTGCTGAGCAACAGCATCAGAGGTATCTCTATCTTAAATGGCGGCGTCCTCGTCGTGTTTGACGTAAGTGTGTTCTACGTCACTTCAGATGGCCGACAGTGGAAGACGGTGATGTCATTCAGCAAGCAGAGCAGCCCAAGTGCAGTGTGTGTGAGCAGAAGCAAAAGCAGCGTGCTCATCACACACGCAGACCCCTTCAGGAATCGGTCGGAAAACAACGTCGTCGATGTATTCACACTATCACAGAGGTTCGAATGAGAATTGCAGACTCTCAAAATTTCATCGATTTATGATGGTATGGAACACAGTGTGGAAGCGCACCTTGAAGTATATATTTTACGCACCAGGATTGCTTTATTATTATTGTGTTTAGTTACACGTCTTTGAATAATATGCGACATTGCCGTTTTGGATGTTTCTGCTGTTTGCCAAATAATGGAGCATTTGTTCTTGTGTGAATAGGCTCTCGTATTCTTTGCTACCGTTTTTGTCGAGCATCTGAATGCCAATCGGTTTAATCGCTTGTAACGGAAATGTAAAGACATGAACACACGAACGATTTCGAAAGCTTAAATGCATCCATAAATTACGACGGCATTCCGTCATATTCCAACTAGACAGCCATATATACCCTACCAGATCGACGCCGTGTAAGGTCATCTCAAGATTCACAACGGAAGTTGTGATTTGATAGAGATGTGCACCATCTACAACCTGTGTGAAGCCAATATTACCTGACTGCTTGTACATTTTCGTTTTGGAAGACACTCTCGCGTTTAATATACTGGAGATAACGAAACTATCGAGATTTTTGACAACAGGCCAATCCATTTTTTCCGGCGTAACCATTGGTCCATTAACCTCTTTATCACTTTGACGTCACATTATTGACTTTCATTTTTAAATTAAAAGTAATGTCATTTTCGTAACCTTATATCGATGATGCTACTTTAAAAAATGACGTATTACGTTTTGTCATTTCCCTGCTCTTACAGGGATAAAACATCGCTTAATTCACTACATATATCTGCAGTAATGCCCAATTGAGAAAAACTGCAATGGGTTAAATACACATTTACACTGTTCCTCGTTCACTATCACAAAATATGGCGTAAATACAATTCATAAAAAAGGCCAAAAGATAATAGTGCATTCAAAACTCATACAAGTGCACCGATATTATCCTTTAGCCTGTGCATGTCATGTGATGGTATCAATAGAAGAACCATTGTTAATTGCAAGACGAATGTAACATTATACATAGAATAAGTTTATCACCAAAACAATAAGACATCGAGATGATACTAAAATCTATATGAATTAATCAAAAATGCCAAGAGTGAAGAAAGACGTTGGGTCTATGTCGGCAAGGCTTTTGGTAAGGGTTGTTTGTGTTTTGCGTCCTAATAACAGACATGGTCAATTAAGGACGTTCTAGTTAGTGGTAGAGGCGTTCTCGGAGAACAAACGACGACATACAGTCAAAACATGGCGACTGTCCCTGTAGGCCTTGAACCCGCGACCCAGTGTTGGAGGACTAGTGACCGTAGACGGTCAGACTAGCCACCAAGCCGCCGCGGCACCACTTAGGGAGATCGAAACATGAACTCGCATAAGAGGCGATGTTTAAGAAAATGTATTTCATGTTTCATGAATCGGATAAGAAATGATGATGATGATGATTACAACAATGATGTTGTTTGTATGTCATCATGATGATGATTTAATGATGTATCAGTTACGTAATTTGATGCCATGATGATGTTTAGGTTTGAGTTGGGAGTGTTTAGAATATGTGAGAAATAAAATGGAAAAGTGTAGAGAAATGACGCCAAAATTTAATTCATAATCTCAGTGATCTTGATTTTTACCCAAAAACGGAATCAAGAACAAGTTGGTCATTGATATTTATTTTAACAAACTTGGTTGCATTTACCCTGGCATACCACAGGCCAAATATCATGTCCCTAGACCTCTTGGTTTAATTTTCCATCACATTGACCCCTAATTTGAACCCGAACATGGGTCAAGACTTATTTGAATAGCCCTCTATCACAGTATACTACGGCCAAATACATTTGACCACTGTGAATACGAAAGTCGGTCAAGTTCATTCAGTTGAACTTGATAGCCATCCATCCCTGCAATCAACAGTATCTTGATGAAGTCGTTTAAAGACTAACATATATGACCCTGTGATTTAGATCACTCATTTGAGCAAGTTTGATAGGCCTCTTCCGCAGCAAGCTACCGACCATATTCCATCACGCTTAGTCACGGTATCACGGTAAATCAGAGAGAATGTTTAAGGTTCAAGGCATGTTCAAAGACCTCACAATTAAAAATCTAAACTTATATATGTTATTTGTATACTTAATTTATAGTATATTGAACTTGTACATTGGCTGTACAAATATACATAACCAGGTTAAGGTAGTCAAAAATAAGGTATTAAGGCTGATGTCTACATAAAAATAGCTCACTGGACTTATAACATGTCAATCTCTTTTGCGATCAAACCGAGTGCTGAGAAATGACCCATAATTTAAAGTTCATTGATTTCTCTTCTACTAGCTGTTGAGAGGAATTCCGACCTCAAATAAAGATAGATTTTGACATGCGAAACCCCTAAAATCAGAGTAAAATACCCTGGTAATACATCCCGCTAAGTAACCTTGATCGATAAATGAACTTTACATGATGTGCCATTTGATAACATCCTGTGATTATATGAATGCGCGAGACATGTTATAAACATTGAAGCTGAAAAGTCACTTTGTTTATAACAAATCTAGCTCTTTCATGGAAACATTGAATGTTAAGAAAGGACATTTTATATGAAGTTTAAGTAGTGTTCTTGGTCAAAGGTCTATTGTTTATACACATATAAACCGGTAAAATATGTTACGCGGACGTTTTCTATGATTTTTGTACTTTCCCATAGCAACAATCATCTTCTTGTGAGGCCAGAATTCCTCTTTACACATAGTTAAAGAGAAACAAAGCCCCGCATGACCTAGGTTTATAAAGGATCTTCAAATAATATGTCATTTCGTAACATTCAGTTGGGTCGCTGAAGAAATTGACATATTATAAATCTGGTGAGCAACTTTTATCATTACATCAGCCTTAATGCCGTATTTTGACTTCGTTAACATGATTATGTACCTTTTTTAATATTTCATGTACAATTTCAATATATTTAAATTACATATATATATTCCGATTTTTAATAAGGAAATTTGAATATGACTTGCCAGGGGGCTGAAATTTAGGGTGACTATTACATCTTTAAGGGGGCATGTTGAACCTTAAAGAAAAGATGAAAGGTTCCACACCATGGCAAAGCTTATATTTGCCATTCTTGCAGACAAGCTGTTGATTGAAGTTTAGCATCAGAGTGGTGAAGAGAACTTGGAGAGGGAAAATTTGAACAGGAGTTAATTCAGACAAAGCTGGAGAATCAAGGCTTTTTAGAAACTTAATTGATCGCATTGTGGAGTATGCAAATAAGCAGTATCCCAATATGTCAATCCTTCTCCTGTCGTTGGTTATCATGGTAAATAGTATGGAGGGATTTATAAGAAGATCTACAACAATGTCTTTACATGATACTCCAAATGATTCTAGTACAGATCCGTATGATGGTCCAAAGGATTACCCACATAACATAAAACATGACAGGCAAAATTTTACATTAAAACCTGCAGAATTTATTGTCATCCAATAACTCCATATCTCAGACAAAATCCTTAACATACAAAAACAAACATCTATTAAACATTCCTCACATGCCCCACACTCTATTAACATTTCTCAAATTATCTACACATGCCTCACATTCTCCTAAAATTCCTCACATTTTCTAAATATTCCCCACATTCTCCTAACATTCCTCACAATTTCTAAGCAATCTTCACATTCTCTAAATATTCCTCACATTCTCTTAACTTCTTTACATTGTCTATACAAATATGTAAATTTGCAATATTACATTATGTTCACATATTCTATAAACACTTTCCTGATAATCTACAAAACACATTCCTTATATAAACAAATTCACAAATGACTGTTTTTTTCTGTTTTTCACCCTAGCTCTTACAACACACTGTGGTGTCCCCGAGTTATCTTACGCAGTACGAATTCCAATCTAATGGTCCAGGCTCCGGTCAGTAAACAGTAAACTGACTCAATTCACCATCTTGAGTTATCAATGGCAATTGCTTTCTTTTCAAATGTCAGCAGAATGCAATGATTTGATCATCATGCAATTTACTTTGAGATCACTTGATGTAACATGAGGTTAAAACAATAGGTTTATACATGTAAGCTCACTTGATGTAACATGAGGTCAGACAATAGGGTTATACATGTAAGCTCACTTGATGTAACATAAGGGCAAACAATAGTTTTATACATGTAAGCTCACTTGATGTAACATGAGGTCAGACAATAGGTTTACACATGTAAACTCACTTGATGTAACATGAGGGCAAACAATAAGTTTATACATGTAAGCTCACTTGATGTAACATAAGGGCAGACAATAGTTTTATACATGTAAGCTCACTTGATGTAACATGAGGGCAGACAATAGTTTTATACATGTAAGCTCACTTGATGTACCATGAGGGCAGACAATAGGTTTACACATGTAAACTCACTTGATGTAACATGAGGGCAGACAATAGGTTTACAAATGTAAACTCACTTGATGTAACATGAGGGCAAACAATAGGTTTACACATGTAAACTCACTTGATGTAACATGAGGGCAAACAAGTTTATACATGTAAGCTCACAGGATGTAACATGAGGGCAGATACTAAGTTTATACATGTAAGCTCACATGATGTAACATGAGGGCAGACAATAGGTTTATACATGTAAGCTCACTTGATGTAACATGAGGGCAGACAATATGTTTACACATGTAAACTCACTTGATGTAACATTAGGGCAAACAAGTTTATACATGTAAGCTCACAGGCTGTAACATGAGGGCAGATCCTAAGTTTATACATGTAAGCTCACATGATGTAACATGAGGGCAGACAATAGGTTTATACATGTAAGCTCACTTGATGTAACATGAGGTCAGACAATAGGTTTATATATGTAAGCTCACAGGATGTAACATGAGGTCAGACAATAGGTTTACACATGTAAACTCACTTAAAGTAACATGAGGGCAGACAATAGGTTTATATATGTAAGCTCACAGGATGTAACATGAGGTCAGACAATAGGTTTACACATGTAAGCTCACTTGATGTAACATGAGGTCAGACAATAGGTTTACACATGTAAACTCACTTGATGTAACATGAGGTCAGACAATAGGTTTACATATGTAAACTCACTTGATGTAACATGAGGGCAAACAATAGGTTTATACATGTAAACTCACTTGATGTAACATGAGGTCAGACAATAGGTTTATACATGTAAGCTCACTGGATGTAACATGAGGGCAGACAATAGGGTTACATATGTAAGCTCACTTGATGTAACATGAGGTCAGACAATAGGTTTATACATGTAAGCTCACTTGATGTAACATGAGGGCAGACAATAGGTTTATACATGTAACTATGCTCACTTGATGTCACACGAAGGCAGATAAGAGGTTGATACAGGTAAGCACACTTGATGTAACACGAGGGCAGATAAGAGGTTAATACAGGTGTTTATTTCAAGATCGAGATACAGTTAATAAATTTCTTTTTGAAGTGTGTACTAGATAATTTAGATATAGGCTGATTTCCCTATTTGCATTTTCATTTTTTTATAATAAAAAATGGTATCAATTGAGAGATAGAGATATAACAACAGCCATCTGGGTAGGTGTCTTTGAAGTAGACTGGGTCAATTACTGGTCACCAGGTAACTCAGTAGATTGGATTGTTAGTCTACAGCTTTGGATGTCTTAGATTTGAATCTCTATCTGACTGTTATATTAGTAATTTTCCCTGTCACATTAAGGTTATTAAGTTACTGCTGAGAAAATGTTAAGTTCACACAAAAACTATCGAGTAACAGTGAAAATATCAATCCCCAACCCATCTCTACCAACTCTGCTGACTGTATAGTAATGCTCATACTCAACAGACAAATAACTCAGACCCAGTAACCTGTTCAGGACAGATATGGTTAATATTTCTTAAGTCATCAGAATAGCTCTGAAGATAAATTTGGATTGTTATATTGTAATTGACTCTTCAGGTAATCATATCAATAGAAATAGCCTGGGTTGTGTACCGGTCGGAGATCTAGGACCCCTTCACCAGTTCTTGGGATACATATAGCTTCAGTACTTGGCATTCACCCCCCCTGAATAAGCCTCCGAAATAATTTCAGTGGCAGCCAGATGCCTACCCCTCAGAAGTTCAATTGTGTCCCCTAAATAATATCATTGGTTAGTTTCCTACGAGTCTAACAGCTATTTGTCAGCTCTTCATCCCCCTTGAGTCAGACACTGTTAGTTTAAGTGGTGGCCAGACATTTATCCTCAGCTCTACCATCCTCACAATCACACACTGTTACACTATATGTAGTTTGAGTGGTGGCCAGACATCTATCCTCAGTGTGACCATCCCCGCAATCAGACACTGTTACACTATATATCTATCCTCAGTGTGACCATCCCCGCAATCAGGCACTGTTACACTATATGTAGTTTGAGAGGTGGCCAGACATCTATCCTCGGCTCTACCATCGCCGCAATCAGACACTGTTACACTATCTACCATCCTCACAATCACACACTGATACACTATATGTAGTTTGAGTGGTGGCCAGGCATCTATCCCTCAGCTCTACAATCCCCGCAATCAGACACTGTTACACTATATGTAATTTGAGTGGTGGCCAGACATCTATCCTCAGCTCTACCATCGCCGCAATCACACACTGTTACACTATATGTAGTTTGAGTGGTGGCCAGACATCTATCCTCAGCTCTACCATCGCCACAATCAGACACTGTTACACTAAATGTAGTTTGAGTGGTGGCCAGACATCTATCCTCAGCTCTACCATCCCCGCAATCAGACACTGTTACACTATATGTAGTTTGAGTGGTGGCCAGACATCTATCCTCAGCTCTACCATCGCCGCAATCAGACACTGTTACACTATATGTAGTTTGAGTGGTGGCCAGACATCTATCCCTCAGCTCTACCATCCCCGCAATCAGACACTGTTACACTATATGTAGTTTGAGTGGTGGCCAGGCATCTATCCCTCAGCTCTACCATCCCCGCAATCAGACACTGTTACACTATATGTAGTTTGAGTGGTGGCCAGGCATCTATCCCTCAGCTCTACCATCCCCGCAATCAGACACTGTTACACTATATGTAGTTTGAGTGGTGGCCAGGCATCTATCCCTCAGCTCTACCATCCCCGCAATCAGACACTGTTACACTATATGTAGTTTGAGTGGTGGCCAGGCATCTATCCCTCAGCTCTACCATCCCCGCAATCAGACACTGTTACACTATATGTAGTTTGAGTGGTGGCCAGGCATCTATCCCTCAGCTCTACCATCCCCGCAATCAGACACTGTTACACTATATGTAGTTTGAGTGGTGGCCAGGCATCTATCCCTCAGCTCTACCATCCCCGCAATCAGACACTGTTACACTATATGTAGTTTGAGTGGTGGCCAGGCATCTATCCCTCAGCTCTACCATCCCCGCAATCAGACACTGTTACACTATATGTAGTTTGAGTGGTGGCCAGGCATCTATCCCTCAGCTCTACCATCCCCGCAATCAGACACTGTTACACTGTAAGTAGTTTGAGTTGTGGCCAGGCATCTATCCCTCAGCTCTACCATCGCCGCAATTAGACACTGTTACACTATATGTAGTTTGAGTGGTGGCCAGGCATCTATCCCTCAGCTCTACCATCCCCGCAATCAGACACTGTTACACTATATGTAGTTTGAGTGGTGGCCAGGCATCTATCCCTCAGCTCTACCATCCCCGCAATCAGACACTGTTACACTATATGTAGTTTGAGTGGTGGCCAGGCATCTATCCCTCAGCTCTACCATCCCCGCAATCAGACACTGTTACACTATATGTAGTTTGAGTGGTGGCCAGGCATCTATCCCTCAGCTCTACCATCCCCGCAATCAGACACTGTTACACTATATGTAGTTTGAGTGGTGGCCAGGCATCTATCCCTCAGCTCTACCATCCCCGCAATCAGACACTGTTACACTATATGTAGTTTGAGTGGTGGCCAGGCATCTATCCCTCAGCTCTACCATCCCCGCAATCAGACACTGTTACACTATATGTAGTTTGAGTGGTGGCCAGGCATCTATCCCTCAGCTCTACCATCCCCGCAATCAGACACTGTTACACTATATGTAGTTTGAGTGGTGGCCAGGCATCTATCCCTCAGCTCTACCATCCCCGCAATCAGACACTGTTACACTATATGTAGTTTGAGTGGTGGCCAGGCATCTATCCCTCAGCTCTACCATCCCCGCAATCAGACACTGTTACACTATATGTAGTTTGAGTGGTGGCCAGGCATCTATCCCTCAGCTCTACCATCCCCGCAATCAGACACTGTTACACTATATGTAGTTTGAGTGGTGGCCAGGCATCTATCCCTCAGCTCTACCATCCCCGCAATCAGACACTGTTACACTATATGTAGTTTGAGTGGTGGCCAGGCATCTATCCCTCAGCTCTACCATCCCCGCAATCAGACACTGTTACACTATATGTAGTTTGAGTGGTGGCCAGGCATCTATCCCTCAGCTCTACCATCCCCGCAATCAGACACTGTTACACTATATGTAGTTTGAGTGGTGGCCAGGCATCTATCCCTCAGCTCTACCATCCCCGCAATCAGACACTGTTACACTATATGTAGTTTGAGTGGTGGCCAGGCATCTATCCCTCAGCTCTACCATCCCCGCAATCAGACACTGTTACACTATATGTAGTTTGAGTGGTGGCCAGGCATCTATCCCTCAGCTCTACCATCCCCGCAATCAGACACTGTTACACTATATGTAGTTTGAGTGGTGGCCAGGCATCTATCCCTCAGCTCTACCATCCCCGCAATCAGACACTGTTACACTATATGTAGTTTGAGTGGTGGCCAGGCATCTATCCCTCAGCTCTACCATCCCCGCAATCAGACACTGTTACACTATATGTAGTTTGAGTGGTGGCCAGGCATCTATCCCTCAGCTCTACCATCCCCGCAATCAGACACTGTTACACTATATGTAGTTTGAGTGGTGGCCAGGCATCTATCCCTCAGCTCTACCATCCCCGCAATCAGACACTGTTACACTATATGTAGTTTGAGTGGTGGCCAGGCATCTATCCCTCAGCTCTACCATCCCCGCAATCAGACACTGTTACACTATATGTAGTTTGAGTGGTGGCCAGGCATCTATCCCTCAGCTCTACCATCCCCGCAATCAGACACTGTTACACTATATGTAGTTTGAGTGGTGGCCAGGCATCTATCCCTCAGCTCTACCATCCCCGCAATCAGACACTGTTACACTATATGTAGTTTGAGTGGTGGCCAGGCATCTATCCCTCAGCTCTACCATCCCCGCAATCAGACACTGTTACACTATATGTAGTTTGAGTGGTGGCCAGGCATCTATCCCTCAGCTCTACCATCCCCGCAATCAGACACTGTTACACTATATGTAGTTTGAGTGGTGGCCAGGCATCTATCCCTCAGCTCTACCATCCCCGCAATCAGACACTGTTACACTATATGTAGTTTGAGTGGTGGCCAGGCATCTATCCCTCAGCTCTACCATCCCCGCAATCAGACACTGTTACACTATATGTAGTTTGAGTGGTGGCCAGGCATCTATCCCTCAGCTCTACCATCCCCGCAATCAGACACTGTTACACTATATGTAGTTTGAGTGGTGGCCAGGCATCTATCCCTCAGCTCTACCATCCCCGCAATCAGACACTGTTACACTGTAAGTAGTTTGAGTGGTGGCCAGGCATCTATCCCTCAGCTCTACCATCGCCGCAATTAGACACTGTTACACTATATGTAGTTTGAGTGGTGGCCAGGCATCTATCCCTCAGCTCTACCATCCCCGCAATCAGACACTGTTACACTATATGTAGTTTGAGTGGTGGCCAGGCATCTATCCCTCAGCTCTACCATCCCCGCAATCAGACACTGTTACACTATATGTAGTTTGAGTGGTGGCCAGGCATCTATCCCTCAGCTCTACCATCCCCGCAATCAGACACTGTTACACTATATGTAGTTTGAGTGGTGGCCAGGCATCTATCCCTCAGCTCTACCATCCCCGCAATCAGACACTGTTACACTATATGTAGTTTGAGTGGTGGCCAGGCATCTATCCCTCAGCTCTACCATCCCCGCAATCAGACACTGTTACACTATATGTAGTTTGAGTGGTGGCCAGGCATCTATCCCTCAGCTCTACCATCCCCGCAATCAGACACTGTTACACTATATGTAGTTTGAGTGGTGGCCAGGCATCTATCCCTCAGCTCTACCATCCCCGCAATCAGACACTGTTACACTATATGTAGTTTGAGTGGTGGCCAGGCATCTATCCCTCAGCTCTACCATCCCCGCAATCAGACACTGTTACACTATATGTAGTTTGAGTGGTGGCCAGGCATCTATCCCTCAGCTCTACCATCCCCGCAATCAGACACTGTTACACTATATGTAGTTTGAGTGGTGGCCAGGCATCTATCCCTCAGCTCTACCATCCCCGCAATCAGACACTGTTACACTATATGTAGTTTGAGTGGTGGCCAGGCATCTATCCCTCAGCTCTACCATCCCCGCAATCAGACACTGTTACACTATATGTAGTTTGAGTGGTGGCCAGGCATCTATCCCTCAGCTCTACCATCCCCGCAATCAGACACTGTTACACTGTAAGTAGTTTGAGTTGTGGCCAGGCATCTATCCCTCAGCTCTACCATTGCCGCAATTAGACACTGTTACACTATATGTAGTTTGAGTGGTGGCCAGGCATCTATCCCTCAGCTCTACCATCCCCGCAATCAGACACTGTTACACTATATGTAGTTTGAGTGGTGGCCAGGCATCTATCCCTCAGCTCTACCATCCCCGCAATCAGACACTGTTACACTATATGTAGTTTGAGTGGTGGCCAGGCATCTATCCCTCAGCTCTACCATCCCCGCAATCAGACACTGTTACACTATATGTAGTTTGAGTGGTGGCCAGGCATCTATCCCTCAGCTCTACCATCCCCGCAATCAGACACTGTTACACTATATGTAGTTTGAGTGGTGGCCAGGCATCTATCCCTCAGCTCTACCATCCCCGCAATCAGACACTGTTACACTATATGTAGTTTGAGTGGTGGCCAGGCATCTATCCCTCAGCTCTACCATCCCCGCAATCAGACACTGTTACACTATATGTAGTTTGAGTGGTGGCCAGGCATCTATCCCTCAGCTCTACCATCCCCGCAATCAGACACTGTTACACTATATGTAGTTTGAGTGGTGGCCAGGCATCTATCCCTCAGCTCTACCATCCCCGCAATCAGACACTGTTACACTATATGTAGTTTGAGTGGTGGCCAGGCATCTATCCCTCAGCTCTACCATCCCCGCAATCAGACACTGTTACACTATATGTAGTTTGAGTGGTGGCCAGGCATCTATCCCTCAGCTCTACCATCCCCGCAATCAGACACTGTTACACTATATGTAGTTTGAGTGGTGGCCAGGCATCTATCCCTCAGCTCTACCATCCCCGCAATCAGACACTGTTACACTATATGTAGTTTGAGTGGTGGCCAGACATCTATCCTCAGCTCTACCATCCCCGCAATCAGACACTGTTACACTATATGTAGTTTGAGTGGTGGCCAGACATCTATCCCTAAGCGCTACCATCCCCGCAATCAGACACTGTTACACTATATGTAGTTTGAGTGGTGGCCAGGCATCTATCCCTCAACTCTACCATCGCCGCAATCAGACACTGTTACACTATATGTAGTTTGAGTGGTGGCCAGACATCTATCCCTCAGCTCTACCATCTCCTAGAGATCAATCCCTGGTAGTTTTAATGGTGGCCAGACATCTATCCTCAGCTCTACCATCACCGCAATCAGACACTGTTACACTATATGTAGTGTTAGTGGTAGTCAGGCATCTATCCCTCAGCTCTACCATCGCTGCAATCAGACACTGTTACACTGTAAGTAGTTTGAGTTGTGGCCAGGCATCTATCCCTCAGCTCTACCACTGCCGCAATCAGACACTGTTACACTATATGTAGTTTGAGTGGTGGCCAGACATCTATCCCTCAGCTCTACCATCCCCGCAATCAGACACTATTACACTATGTGTAGTTTGAGTGGTGGCCAGGCATCTATCTCTCAGCTCTACCATCCCCGCAATCAGACACTGTTACACTGTAAGTAGTTTGAGTGGTGGCCAGGCATCTAACCTCAGCATGACCATCCCCGCAATCAGACACTGTTACACTATATGTAGTTTGAGTGGTGGCCAGGTATCTATCCCTCAGTGTTACACTATATGTAGTTGTGGCCAGGCATCTATCCCTCAGGGTTACACTATATGTAGTGGTGGCCAGACATCTATCCCTCAGAACTGCTTGAACTGTCATACTTCTTGCTTTTATGATGCTTATGTTTTTGTTTCTGAAATTAAAAAAATAGCATTTGCAGATAAAAGCTGATTTATGACTTTTGTATTCTCTATGAAACACTTAAGCATAATAGCGTTCACTGTCACTTTAAGAAACTAATGTTTCAAAAATCACCAGATTTTGGAACAGTCAAGATTACAGAAAACAAACTAAAATATTTCCAGCAAAATAACAAGATTACCATGTTTTGAAACGTTTCTACCATTTTAGACTTTAATTTTAAGTTCTGTTTGATAAATCCAGACATGTTTCTCTTCCAAACTTTTATTTAGAAATTCCATCCGGTTTAAAATTATCTAAAAAGAACACCTGCGATTGTCAGCAGCGTTGGTACATGACCTTAACTAATGACCTTGACATTAAGATATATGACCTTTATATCCTACCTTCCTGTGCCGCTCCTCGTCACTACTATCTTCTGATGAAGCCTGTTTTTGGTGTTTGTGCTTCTTGTGTTTTTTCTTCTCCTTTTTGGGCTTTTTTTCTTTCTGTGAAACCAGGATCAGCATTGTACAACAACAAAACTGTAACAGCAGTTAATTATCCTACCTGACATTCACCTTGTCACTGAAAGAATTACACACTAAGAAACAAGGGACATTTTCATTTATGTGAAAATAGACAATTTTACCACTTTCAAACGAAAACTTACTTGGTACTGTTTAGCAATGTCTTAGATTTAAATTTGTTTCTCCATGTAACCAAAACTTGTTACTTTCTAAATAGACTTCTTATCTAAATTATATCAATATTTTAGATTATGCTATATTAGCGTATATAACTATGTCAATTTTTATTGTTTACTATATTAGCATGTATGTATATTAGGCACATGCCATTTAATTGATGAAATTCCTTTGCATGAAACTTTATGCATTCTGTGATACTCTTAACTAAGATAACTGTGATATAACCTTATATATGTCGATTGCATCAATATATATGTAACTTTTAACTAGCACATGTTTTTTACTAGCAAGATTACCATGTTTATTTATATATCGATTGCGTAAATATGTTATTTTATCTAACACATGTATTTCACTAACAAGAGGACCATGTGGAAGATTAGCCCTTGGCTAAACATGTATTTTATCCTCAATAAATAAAGTTTATTATTATTATAAACAACCAGTTCGTCTACTCAACATATTTTCTCTGATTTACTGAAATTCAGATAAGTACATCTGAGTACCTGAACAGGTACCAAAATCAAACAAATAACAGCCGTTTATAAATAAAATTACCTTCCTTTTCTTCTTCAGTGAGGAACTCTCTTCCTCTGATAACTCCGGAAATCCATCATCCTCCAGGTCAGGGACCAACTCGTAGGATTTACCTCCCTTTGTGTGAAAACAATCCTGTGCTAAATGTCCTATGATATCAACAACGAGAAAAAGTTTTATATATATATATATACAGAAGACTAAGAAATATGGTATATTCATATTGAAGTGTTATATTAAGGACAGATTTGACCCTGTATTGATTCAGTACCAATTTCTGAAGAATATTTTGCTTAGTTTTAAAACGTTTTATGGCCATAAGATTTGTCAATGGTGAAAAGTTTTATAAACCTCAATACTGTCTTTAATCTCACAATATCTAACGATATGTTTAAGGTTTTCTGAATGTTAAACACAGTCCAACAAATAAATAAATACCAGAATGACGTGAAACTTTAAGTATTAAACAAAGAATTCCACAGAGTAATTAACACATGTACCATGTCCTCCACACTTGCGACATGTGGTGTCCAGGACTGCCCCGAGTTCTATTTTTGGTCTCCCACCTCTCACGCCTTGCTTCTTCTGCCGATTGTCCAAGCTTAAAGGTACGACAGGAAGCATGTTACATTCTCTACATGTACATATTAAATTTTGGGCTATGAATAAAGAAATCGGATATGTACATAGTAGGGTCCTTATGCCTAAATATATTTCTTTACAGTATTTGTGCATTGGATGTAAAAATGTTGGTTACATGTCCAGGATATGATACAAGTGTCAAAAGTCAGCAACCAGATAGCTGCATTGGAAGAGCATCCATCCAGAAATTAAAGGGTCCCAGCTTTGAATCCCGGTTTGGACATTGCGTTTTTCTTTCTCCTGTTACAAAATCTGTCAGCTTGCCAACACTGGGTGAATTTTGGCAGGGTGATACTTGATCCTGGGGTTGTGAAAAGTTGTGTCTTTGGTGGCAAAGTCTTAGATAAAGGAGGGAGGAATGTAGTGGAACTGGACTGGGTCGATTGTTGGCGACCAGGTAGCTCAATTGGTAGAGCGTCCGTCTCGAGTTCGGAGGGGCCCGTGTTGAATCAAGTCTGGCCATTGTGTCCCTCTTTCTCCTGTTACACAAGGATCTCCAAATTGCAGATGGCTGATCTAAATAATTGAGTTTCTTTGTCAGTGTTGTTTAACCCAGTCCATTTCCACTACATATAAAATTGAGGCCTGTAGGGTTTATCTAGCTTACCTTAACATATTATGGCCTAGTAAATACATATCAACATCTTTTTAGTTAGAGCTTAGTACATGCATATGTTAACATGTACATGGTTAGGGCCTAGAAAATGCATATATATGTTAACATCTTTACAGCTAGGGCCTAGTACATACATATGTTAACATGTACATGGTTAGGACCTGGTGTATCAAATGTACAACATACCCTGTACTTGGTATGTAAATAATTGGGGCCATGAGTAATGTATACCTTAACTGTACATTGGTAGGGTCCTCATCTTGACCAGTCGTCTGGTTAACACACTTCATAGACAAGGACACCTTATCATCCTGTTGATGAAAAGATGTAAATGTGTACTTCAATATCATAGAATAGCTTTTCGGTAAACAATCCATAGAAAAGGTCATCTTATATATTCTGCCCTCAGAAATCAGTAAATCATGATTGTGTAATCTTTTTTTAATAAACATTTTACAGAGAAGTTATTTTTATTATCCTTCCTATCTGACAGAAATCAGAACATGGTCTTTATTTTCTATTTTCATTTTTATTTTTATTTTTTTGTAGGGCGTTTGGGTTACTTATGCTCGGTGACATAAGATAAGGTTTGGGTCACTTATGCTCGGTGAAATGAGATAAGGTTTGGGTTACTTATGTTCGTTGACATAAGATAAGGTTTGGGTCACTTATGCTCGGTGACATAAGATAAGGTTTGGGTTACTTATGCTCGGTGAAATAAGATAAGGTTTGGGTTACTTATGCTCGGTGACATAAGATAAGGTTTGGGTTACTTATGCTTGGTGAAATAAGATAAGGTTTGGGTTACTTATGCTCGGTGAAATAAGATAAGATTTGGGTTAGTAATGCTTGGTGAAATAAGATAAGGTTTGGGTTACTTATGCTCGGTGAAATGAGATAAGGTTTGGGTTACTTATACTCGGTGAAATAAGATAAGGTTTGGGTTACTTATGCTCGGTGAAATGAGATAAGGTTTTGGTTACTTATGTTCGTTGAAATAAGATAAGGTTTGGGTTACTTATACTCGGTGAAATAAGATCCTAAAATGTAACACACTTTGACAGAAAATATATCATTCCAAACACCATTTACATCTGGAACACTGCTAGACAAAGTCATTCGCCTTAAATCAATCAAGCATCTACTTTTACACAGTTTTAAACCTGTTTGAAAGATATCTTTAGACTGTTGTTTCCTTTTTTTAGTAAGTGTTAACTACGACACTGCTCTTTATCATAATTTCCCCCAGTCCGGAGAAAATGACTTAACTGTTTATGGTTGATTGATTATTGATTGATTATGTTAACTGTTTATGGTTGGTTGATTATGTTAACTGTTTACGATTGATTGATTATGTCCAGCCCTACCAAGTTTACCTTCATTAGACATGTCCTTACCTCGATAGAGATAACTTTACACTGCACTTTTTCTCCGACACTCAACATCTCGGTCGGGTCATCAACTCTGGCCTTGGACATCTGGGATTTGTGTACTAGACCTGAATTATATTGACATCAAGTGGTTTTTACACCAAGACTTCAACAGGTCTGCCAAAGTAAAATTCTGTTTCTGGTTTACCTAACTACCCTAGTTCTAAGTCTGTCAGTGTCCTACATGATTTACCTAACTACCCTAGTTCTAAGTCTGTCAGTGTCCTACATGATTTACCTAACTACCCTAGTTATAAGTCTGTCAGTGTCCTACATGATTTACCTAACTACCCTAGTTCTAAGTCTGTCAGTGTCCTACATGATTTACCTAACTACCCTAGTTCTAAGTCTGTCAGTGTCCTACATGATTTACCTAACTACCCTAGTTATAAGTCTGTCAGTGTCCTACATGATTTACCTAACTACCCTAGTTCTAAGTCTGTCAGTGTCCTACATGATTTACCTAACTACCCTAGTTATAAGTCTGTCAGTGTCCTACATGATTTACCTAACTACCCTAGTTATAAGTCTGTCAGTGTCCTACATGATTTACCTAACTACCCTAGTTCTAAGTCTGTCAGTGTCCTACATGATTTACCTAACTACCCTAGTTCTAAGTCTGTCAGTGTCCTACATGATTTACCTAACTACCCTAGTTATAAGTCTGTCAGTGTCCTACATGATTTACCTAACTACCCTAGTTCTAAGTCTGTCAGTGTCCTACATGATTTACCTAACTACCCTAGTTCTAAGTCTGTCAGTGTCCTACATGATTTACCTAACTACCCTAGTTCTAAGTCTGTCAGTGTCCTACATGATTTACCTAACTACCCTAGTTATAATTATGTCAGTGTCCTACATGATGTATATTTTTGTTAAGCCTAATAGTTTAAATAAACCGATTACAAAACTTCAAGATTTCCCAATTCACTCTGCCTTTCCAATTTGTTTCAGAAAATCAATTAGAATCCATGTTTAATTGAGATTGAAAGCTGACTGCAGACTTACAATAATTGTTTACATCATGTCAAATACCACTAACCAATTGTATTTCAGTGTTTTTCCAGAGCTAGTAAGTATACACCCGTCTTTTAATTATTCAATTTTGCCATAATGCCACCACCAATTCACCTTACCCTTTTAAAACCTTGAGTATTGCTTAGGCCAAAAAGTAATGTGTATTAAGGTTTCTGATCAACCATATTGCTTTCTTGCAAACCCTTAAGTTCTTGACCTTGCCATTTTAAACACATTTTAAAAATATATTAATTATATTTCACAAGCATTTAGTCTTAAAATTCTAAAGATGGGGATATAACTTAATCAGTAGTCTTCATTTTATCATAATAATTTAACAGCATGCTCTGATGTAGAAGTTCCATCACTATGTATATGTAGTATATGATTATCTACTGTATTCAATCCAACTGTGATCATAAGACATAAAAACACTCCCTATCATTTTTTTCCAGTCAAAGAGTCCCACCTTAACAAAAATTTACCAACTTACTAGAAATCACATCTTTCATGGATATTTTTTAAGAATTTTGGAAAGTTTTGCAATCATTCAAATTTTCCCAAAATTCTAAACATCCAGGGCACCGATTACATCAAATACCTTACCTTGTTTTTTAGAATCAGGAATCTTTATAAATGCCCCATAAGACTTCACACTAGCCACCTGTATCAAACAAAAACACATCATCACTTTGTATACATGTACAGTAGATTTCACTTGCTTAATGTCATTTTTCTGTTAATATCATGTCTTCATACTTTGAGAACAGCATTTTTCCTACTATATATAAATACATATTTATAAATATCACTTGATTTGATATATTATCAGCCAATTATCCCAAATACACAGGTTAGTGAGTGAAATAAATAGAGGTTCCCCAACGAGTGATGGTTGGTTATCATGTTTATCTAACTCGAGTTAGTTAATTTTCAAATTGTATAAACCTCGTGTCTTTTACAATTTTAAAATTAACTAACAAGAGTTAGATAAACATGAAAACCTACCATCACGAGTTTGGGATCCTTTTTTTCCCATAACGTTCATATTTTATCTGGAAAGCCATATGTTTCCCTTGAAAATACACTATATCGGCTTCTGATTGGGGGTAACAATTGCCGTGAATCATGACGTCACAATCGAAGATGACGTCGCGAAGCATTGTTATGAGACGTCATAAGTAAAAAATTGACCAATGAAATCACGTACAGGGTTGTTATCCACTAGTGGGTAACCAAAAATGTTTACCAATTCCTAGCAGGTTCATCCAATGAATCGGGAGTGAGGAAAGCTATAGGAGTTGTGGGAGAAACATGGTTTGTGCCCTCGGAATCTGGTGTTACTTTCAAAGTCTTTTTTTGTGGGGGGTTTCAGGGTATTGTGTTCTCATCAATGTCAATAGATGTCATAAAAATATGGTGTCCATTTACATACTAATAAATTCTTATTTTTGGAGGTTTACCCATTAAATCTTACAATCAGTAGAATTGGTGTGTGTGTGTGTGTGTGTGCAAAAATCACGGAATTACACTTATTACAAATGTTTATAATATATAGTAATATGACTCTGCTCAAATTAGGCCACTCAATCTTAGTCATCAGATTTTGGCTATCCTCAGCTCAGAACAAGGGGAGATAGCTATATAGTCAACAAGAAATGAACTTGCTGTCCAATTTAACATTGCAGCTTTACTTGTGTCAGCAAATTAAAGAACCATATGGCATGTGCCTACATATGACAAAGCAAAACAGATTTCCACAAGAATCTTGATGGTTTATTTTCTCCTCATGAAATCATTTTTTATAGATTGATGAAATGGTCAAAATGTCAACGACCTGCAGTGAATCATCGCTAGAAGGCACTTCTCAGTTATATCTGTTATAGTTGTTTAAATGAGATACATTGTATGAGTGATATGAGAGGTGGGAGTAGTATATCATGATCAACTGACAGCTGTCAGTATCTTGCCCACCAGAATGGTTGTCCCCGTGTTGGCTTGTGCTGGAAAATTCTATCCGACACACCGGTGGGGAACACTTATTCTGTCTTTGCATATTGCAGATTTAATCTTCTCTAATATAATGTGAGCAGGTATTGATTGTTACGTCATTGGTTTGTGTGAGAAAATTACGTCGTTTCTCAAAAATTGATGACGTTACTCTCACAAACAAATGACGTAACAATCAATACCTGCTCACAAGAGCAGATAACTCTGCAATACGAAAAGACGGAGTATGTTAACATCACAAATCTACGAAAGCCTATTAGGGTCACTTATAAGAAAAAAATACTGGAAAGTCGTAACAATGCAAAAAACAGGTTATAACACAAACAAACATGTAATAACAAGAAATATATGTAATTACGCAAAAAAATATGCTATAACGCAAAAATCCTGTAATAATGTGAAATAGGCACATGTTAAGTGCTGAACATAATTCAGTACATGTATGGACCATGTTAGGTGAAACCTAACACAATTGGGAAATAGAAGTGATCAGTAAACTGGATGTGTTTATCCCAATGAGAAAATAATTACTAAAACTTTAAGAAACTTTAAGAAAAAATCACTACCCCAAGACATGAAAAACACACACAAAAATCATCATATACATGTGTTAAAGGTCATGCCACTACAAGGCGACTCCTGAAGAGAACCAACTATAGTTGGGAAAAAGTCTTCATTGCCTTTATTATAACGTTTTTTGGCAGCAATAATCTCATTCATAAGTTATTGCAATCTGAGTGACGTCTAACGTCTAAGCTTTCCTTATCTTTTCACGGGTCTTGAAACCTGTCTTTTACTGGCAAGTATGGGAGAATAATATAATCTTCCCTTCCCTTCAGGGTGTGACAGAGAAAGCTCACCCAAGGGTTGGAGAAATATCTCTGTTACACCCTCAAGGTAGGGGATGATTATTTTTCTCCCATCCTACTATTTCAGTCACAACTCCAACGACAGTAGTTGATCTGCCATGTTTGTAAACAAAAACACTTGTTGGGTATGTCATGCACTTTTGATGCCGTCACAATTACCGGTGACACATTTAAATGACGTCACGATTGAACATGTGCTAATCTGCACGAGGCTTTCTCCCCCTTAGGGGTGATAAGCTGATCTTTCCTTGCTAAAACAGGAGACACACCTGTGAAGGGTGTGAGAAAAGATATAATGAAACCCTCAGGATGAAATATCGATGAAAGCCCGCTGCAAAACTCATCTGTCTGGTTAAATATCTGGTTACCTGGCCAAAGCATACAGATACTAGCCTAGTCTGTCAATACACCCAGAAAAAGGGGTAGGGAGGTTTTTATTATGGTTGTATGAACAGACAAGGCCAATACCTGTGGCCCAAGAAAAAGGAAAAGTTCATAATCCAAAACCGATTTATGTATAGTAAGGTTTCACGTCTCAATATCGATCAATAAGAGAATTTCTTCTAAGTTGGCATGCCTTAATAAACCAACAGAATACTACTCAATAAACTCTAAACCATTGCATGCTACCTGCATGTCTATATAAGCTACTTTCAGTTTGATTTGTATGTTGGAGTTATATAATTACCTCTCCCTGGAACACAAAGTATAGATTAGGTAGTGACTCGTTTTTGAAGAATTTGTAGCGGTCACTACGACCTCTCTCCTCCCCGTCGGTCGAATGACGTTTAGACATCTTAGATTACGCTAGTGATGAACAGTAACTCAATAAAACCATTAAACGTCCACTACACGATTCAAGTCGTGGATACATTCGGAACACCTCGGTACAAATGGATCCTATTTACCCAACGGGTCCAACCGTTATGAAGCCAAAAGGACCAAAATGATTAACTCCGTGTGGAGTGTGTTATTCTAGCGACATACTGCGAGCGAGCCCAAGCCACCAGTTAAAATCATTAATATTTTTGTAATTTAAGATATAATATAACAAGAGACCCAGAGGGCCTGTATCGCTCACCTGTTTCTTTTGTTACATGAAACTGATCATGCCATATATATAGGTAAGTTCAAACCAAAGGTAATTACAACACTAGACATTTTAACATCTCTTAAACGGTTCTTAAGATATTGTTTTTTGAAATTTGAAATTTTAGTTTTAACGCTTTTGACCCACATTAACCTTTAACTCCGGCTAGCACTTAAAGCTGAGCTTTGACCTCATTTCTGTAATAAAGAAAACGATTCACACTGCTGGACCCAAGTATAATGACTCTAGTCCAAATGGTTCTAATGATATTGTGGTTTGACGTTTTTAACATATATGAACCCTGTGACCTTGAAACTAAGTCAATGTCATTTTAACGAGAAAACTTTATAGCACTCCATCCCAGGTATACATACTGGCCAAATAGTATGACCCTGTGCCTTAGTAGTGGAACGTGAGAAGATTATTAGAGCTTTTAACCCCTGTTGACCTTTGACCCCCCAACTAGCACTTAAAGTTGACTTTTGACCACATTACTGTTATTTGACGTTTTTAACATATTTGACCCCTGTGACCTTGAAACTAGACCAAGGTCAATTTAGTTAGAAAACTTTATAGCACTCCATCACATGTACCTGCTAGCCAAATCGTATGACCCTATAGGTCCTTCAGTTCTTAAGCAGAAATCGATCAAAAGAAAAAGATGGACTGACGACGGACGGACGCCATAGTACGGCAAAAGCTCCTATGACCCTTTGGGCCAGGTGAGCTAAAATCCAGTAGCCAAGGATCTCAGGGCTTTCTTCCCAGCAGATCCATGTTGGTAATAAGTGACCTAAAGATCGGGAGTTCCTCTTCCTCATTGATGTTGTTAGGTAGGCTATTCCATAGGGTAATATATGTCTTGGTAGGAAACTCTACTGGTACAGATCAAGCTTTGCTGGGATCTGTCTATAGTTGGTACTCGCACCTCTTGTTCTGGAGTTAGCTATAGGATTAATGTGTTGCCCAGGGTCAACGTCCACCATTTTGTTGATGATATTGTGGAACATGACTAATCTCGCTTTCGCTCTCCTCTGCTGCAGTGTATCCCATCCAAAACTTCTGTAGGATGGCGAGCATGCTTCCAGGATCCCTTGATCTGTAGTCCTCGCCGCGCGTCTCTTGACTCCCTCAATGCTTTCGATGTTGTTCCTCTGGTGTGGGTCCAATACTGTGAACGCATAGTTTATCCCGAGTGTACAAGCGTGGTAAATGTACTTGTCTTGACTCAGCGTTACTCCCAGGTACATGTATTTGGCGGATTTTACAACCTGCAGCTGGTGTCCATGGAGTAATTAGTCTTTAATTGCTTCTTCTTCCTGGTAATATGCATGGCGACGCATTTCTCAGCATTGAATTTCATCTGCCACACATCTTCCTATTGCTGTAACCGCTGAAAGTCCTCCTGGAGGGAAAGGCTGTTCTTGATGGTGTTGGTGATGCGAAAGACTATGCAGTCATCTGCAAAGAGCAGCATATCCGACTTCCCACGGTTTGATAAGTCGTTAGTGTACAGCAGGAATAGGAACTGCCCGACCAACGTCCCTTAGGGGACTCCAGACCGTACCTCGGCCCCGGATGAGTTGCTTCCTTTGATAGTAACGAGTTGTTTCCTGCTGTTCAAAAGTCTTTGAACCATCCGAGGGTGTTGTTCCGGATCCCATAATTGAGTAGCCCCTGTAGCAGTCTCTGATGGGGTACTTTGTCAATGCTTTGGAGAAATCAAGTAAAACCATGTCGATCTGTTTTCCTCCATATAAGCTAGCCTCTGGCAAGCGTATGTATGGTCTGGATGAGTTGGGTTTCACAAGGTCTCTTCCTCCGAAAACGATGCTGTTCATCTCTCAGTATGTTGTGTTGGTCAAGGTGTTGACTGATCTATGGAGGACGTATTCCATCAGTATGGAACGAACTATAGATGACAGCATTGAAACGATCCCCCTCCTTAAAGATAGGGATCATGTGGGCCATCCTCCGGTCGTACAACACAGTCGAACTGTACAGGGAACACTGGTAGATTCTCCTGGGGCTGGAGCAAGTTTAGTGGCTATTTCCTTCAGGAGTCTAGTGGGTATACCGGCTGGTCCAGCAACTTTGTGAGGCTTAAGTCCCTTCAGCTGCTTCTCAGCTCCTCAGGTGGTAATTTGTATATCTGGCATGGATGATGTTGAGCTGTCTCTCAAGTATGGTAAGTTTATGGTGTCCTCCTCTGTGAATATCGACTGAATATCTCGGCTATGGTCTTGGGATCACTATACAGCAGTCCATCAGAGTTACGGAGTGGAGACACTCCTGTCGACTCCTGCCTCCGGCTTTTGGTGAGCCCCAGAATTTTTTGGGGTTTTGCTGACAGTCAGGACTGATGATGTCCGCGATTGTCATGAGCCTTGCGGGTTTTGCGCTGGGCTTCTGCCTTGAAGGTCTTGTATCGAGTCTGATCTCTCTCCCGTTTCGTAGCCTTCGCTTTCCTGTAGGCTCGACGCAGTAGTCTATTTGCCTCTGTATTCATACAGGGGTTCGTGAAGCATGATCTTGACGGCTTGTTTGGGATGTTACCTCCCTGGATGGTTGCGAGACCGTGGCGAAAGAATGTCCACATCTCGTTGAAACTAGGGAAAATGGTCAAAAGGAGGGTATCTACAAACCCTACCTCAGTACTATGTTATGATCGCCGATTCCTGGAATGGTCTTACATTTCACCATTAGCGATGGATTGCTGGTCAAAAACAGGTCCAGGATGAGATCTTTACGCGTTGGAATATTCACCATTCGCTCTATCGAATATGTGGTAGTCATGTCCAAGTAAATATTGTTCATATTCCTTGGGTACTGGTTCCCCTGACTGGGAGGGTTGACCAGTTGATGTCAGGTAGGTTGAAGTCACCACCTAGCCAGAACTGACTATTCGGGTGTTGATCTCTGAGTGACATAATTTCGTTGACCACTTCCTCGGTATGTGTTGTTATTTTATCTGGAGCTCTATAATATGGAGTGGCTATGAGGGATTGACTCTTTGATGTAGTTATTTTAACACTTATGAGTTCAGATGATTTGCTGGTGTATACGAGGGAGCTTATGAGATTCCCCTTGATGGCATTTACAACACCTCCGTGACAGTCTGATGTTCTGTCCCTTCTATAGGTCGAGTATGTCCTTGGTATAACCTCTGAAAAACTCACCCCGTTTTGAAGCCAGGTCTCTGTGTCGATGATGATGTCAGGATCACAATTGTCAATCATTACCTGCACTTGTGTTTTTTTTTGTTTTTATACTCTGGAAGTTAACGACAATTGTACGCAGACTTTTTATATTGGGAGGGCCTGAATGTTTTTGTAGCCTTGGTGATGAGGTGGCTATCGATGATTGAAGGGAGAAATTTCCAGATGTTGGAGATGTCATGTTAAGCACGCTATTACTATTGAGGCTGTTAAATGAGTTGTCACTTAGGTTGGTGATGATGGAGCTGTAGACTATTGAGTGGTTCATTGACTGACAGTTCATACATGGCCACACTGTTGGTGTCACATCAAACTCGCTGTTAGACACTGCCATACAGGAGGAGTAATACCAATGCTCACAATTGTCACACGCCAGTCCTTTTGGCCCTATTTAACAGCTTATATAAATCACATACTTGACATGGGTACTTTGGCTTGTAGGGAACAGGGTTTGGTTCAATGTGTCCGCGCATACCAACAATAACAGTCGTAGATATCTGCGGGGGTCTGTGATGTGATACCCTGACCTGTGTTTTATGTCCCTGAGCCAGTAGTAGATTGATGTTAAATCCTCTCTGGGTTAGATTGGAGAGGCATGCTGGTACTGGGGTTATCACGGAGATGGAGGCCGACGGATGGCCTAATATCAGCCCTAACGAGACGTCGGTGATCAGGCAGATTGTTGGGTTCTCTCCCCAGTACACAGGAAACAACACTAATATGAATGATCAATACGTACATCGTAAAGCAATTTTTTTAGCCATACTTCGTCTATTCTACTCACAACGTCAATTATGTTGGTGTCAGACGGTCAGTTGTCTTGGTGGACACTTTATAATTAAAATGTAATGTCAGTAAGGGTTGAGTTAAAGGCCAATTGTGTACAGGGCAATCCCTATAACACTGGCCTCGCTCGACCCGTACACGCGTACGTAACATACTGCAATGGATGGTTGAATATGGCAAGCCAAGTTGTCATTTATGTATGGAGCAATGTTGATCCAGTACTTAACCAAATTATATAAGATATCTTCTTTAATTTTATGAGATATCTTATATACTTTATGAGATATCTTATATACTTTATAAGATATCTTATATAATAAATGAGATATCTTATATACCTTCAAGATATCTTATAAAGAATATAAGATATCTTATAAAAGATATAAGATATTTCATAAACTTAAAACAAGATATCTTATATGTTTATAAGATATCTTATATAATTTATAAGATATCTTATATAATATATGAGATATCTTATATAATTTGGTTAAGTACTGGATCAACATTGCTCCATGAATAAATTACAACTTGGCTTGCCATAGTTGAACAACATTAAAAATGGCGCCATTGTTCGCGCGAACGTCACATTGAGGAAATGGATTCACACGTCGATCACAAAAGAGTTCGGGGTGGGAAACGCTGCTTGATGATTACCGCCGATGTTGCTGGCGATATTCATGTAGTTTCATTCGTAAAAGAATACTTAATAGTAGGCCGAAAAATGGGGGGGAAAACAGCAAAGTTGTTGGGTCTAAAAAGTTCACGTCAGGTGTGGCTTGGACATGCGCGAACAATCATTATGTATTATATTGTTATATTCTTTTCTGAGTGAACATATATTGTAAAGATATTGTGGTATCGGTTTACGCGCACTTAGGAAGCAGTCGCGATTACGTCCTCATATCGGTGGAAACTGTTGAAATTACAAAAAATTGGTCCATTCGTTCCCCTGAAAGTGAGTGTGTTAGAAGTTTACAGATGACACAGCTCTGTCATCTGTAAACGTGTAAACTTCTAACACATTCGCTTACAGGGGAACGAATGGACCATTTTTTTGTAATTTCAACAGTTTTCTACCGATATATGAGTACGCAATCGCGACTGCTTCTTAAGTGCGCGGAAACCGATAACACGAGGAGGATACTTTTACAATATGTTCACTCAGAAAAGAATACAGCGCTATTGATGATCCAATGGATTTCATTTTTAATTCAATATGTGCGCCCAAATTAGTATACAAAATGTTAGTCATAACATTTGTGTTACTCTAGGAGACGATTTTTGACGATGTACCAAAAATAACCCCTTTCGCCCCCTTTTGTAGCCTCAAGCCTCTCCATTTCAACAAATTTGAATTGCCAACCCCCAAATGATGCTTCCTACCAAGTTTAGTAGACATCAACTCAAGGATTCTTTAGAAAACGTTGTTGAAAGAAATAATGTGAATTTGGCCTAGGACCTCTGCGTGTGGTCCCATCAATGTATCCCTATAAGGACTTCATTTTCACAAATCTGAATCTCCACACCCTTAAGGTATCATGTACACAAAATATTAAAGACCTTGCATTTGTTATTCGGTAAAAGAAGATTCTTTAAGATGTACCTGATATTACACCAGCTATGCCACCAAAACGACAATTAGAACAAAGGTCCATAACTCTGTAAATAATGGCCTGTGAGACTTTAAATTCCGTACACAACTCACCATTATCCCATAATTATCATGCATATCATGTTTAATTAAAATATGTGTCCATGACAACAAAATTTTTGAAAGACATATCCCATTGAAACCAGTGTACCCATTTAAAGACCCAATCATATCAGTTTTCACTAAAATCCAAGAACATTTAAATGTTGACCAATCAGAAGCCTGCAGTTTAACAAATTTGAATCTACATCCACAAGGCATCGTGCATGCAAAACAACAAACATGTGGCACTTCTGGTCCTTGAGAAGAAGAATTTTTAAAAATTGACCATATTTTTCTATTTTTGCCCCTATTGGGACCCCTAAGATAATTAGCCCCTCCAAATCTGAATCCACATGCAATTGCTGATCACTGGTGCCAAGTTACATCAAATTTGGCCAAGCAGATTTTGAGAAGAAGTCGAAAATTTTAAGATGTTGAAGCACGATGGATGACCCACGACGACGGAAAAAAGACGGATTGCAAAATCACGATGACCAATGGTGATGGTGCTAAAGAAGAATCACTTGGCTATCAAATTATGCCACCATTTGGATATTTCTCTTCAGGTATAAATAAAGCCGGATATAATGCCTAACGTTTTCTAATTGGGTCAGAAAATGGTACCAATTGTATCTTATTATGAAACAAGAGGCCCACTATAGTGGCTGTATATAGCTCCCATGTTATCCTTCGCACATCTGTGACCTTCAAGAGTAGTTAGAGGTCAAAGGCTAGATGTCATTACTGTACATATTATGGAACCTTGTCGAGCATTTTTAATATCCAACACCTTATAAGAACTTTTATTGGAAACATTTTAACCACTTTTACTCACGAAAACTTTAAAAGTTGATCTAGGTTGTGGAAACCCTAATAATTGTTCAATAGTGTTTGCAAAAGGTCTAAAAGGATGACCATGGGATGATGGGGCGTTTGGTTATTTAGAAGTCATTGTTAGGGTTTAACACATTTGACCTATGTGACACTGAGAGTTGGTCAAGGTCATTCATTTCAACATCTTGGTAGAGCTTCATACCATTATGTTACTAGCCAAATATCACGAATCTAGGTCTCTTGGTAGTTCAGACGTTAAATAGAAGAAAGCAATGTTGTTTTACACATTTGACTCCAGTGACTTGAAAGTGGGTCAATGTCAGTAATATGTCCACATATAGCCCTTCAGGCAAACATCTTACTGGCTTAGTATCAACACAATCAAATATTGGCTCTTCTCAGAATATGTCGTTTTAATGTTCTAAACAAAGTTGACCCTGAAGACCTGTGTCCTTGAAAGAGGAATATATTGTTTTCATGTTGCAACACATTTCATGTCTGTGACCTTGGTGTCCTTAAAAGAGGAAATATGTCATTTATTTGAACAAAGTTGATGGCCCTTCATTCCTGCATACAACTAGATACGTATCATCACTTATCACGCATTGGTTTAGAAATTGTCTTAAATATTTTAACAGATTAAACCGTGACCTTGACTGCAGCTAGTTCCTTTATTTATTTTAAATCTAGGCCTGGTGGTTATTAAGAAGTTGGTAAAAGTTTTACCGTATTTGACACAAGTGACCTAGAAAGTGGGTCAAGGTCATTCTTACTCAGTAGTCCTTCTATATCGCAATTGCTATAGGTCTAAAAAAGATGACAATTGTGCCTCTTGGTTATTCAAGAGGCATTTAAAGTGTGGGTAAACTAAAGGACATTCATTTGAACAACATTTGTAGCCCTTTACCTAAGCATAGTACAAGCTAACCTGCTAAATATCACGATCTTAGGCCTCTTCATTATTCAGAAGAAATTGTCCATTTTGAGTTTTTTCAACCCCTGTGACCTTGTATGTATGTCAAGAAAATTCAGTTGAACAGCCTTGATATTTTTTTATCCCAGCATGGCCTTGACCAAATATCAATACTATGTTCATAGGTTCTTGAGAGTTAGTCAAGATCATCTTATTGAAAATTTATAACCCTTTATTGCTGTATGCTACAGGCTAAATATCATTAACATAGGCCTTTTTGTTACTCAGAGTTTGTTCAAGGGTTTTGACGGAATTTACCCTATGACCTTGAAAATTGGTCAAAGTCACTGGTTGAAAAAAAAATTAACACTACATCATCTTATTGGCCTAATAAAAAGGCTTTAGACTGCTAAGTTATCAAGAAGGATTCGTTTCAAGTTTTAGCCACATTAGATCCCTGTGACCTTGAAAGTTGGCCAAGCTCATTGATTTGAAGTAATTAATCTGATAGATAGCCCTTCATTTCCAGGAGTAATACTGACCTTATATCAAGACTATCTCTATCTTGGTTATTCATAGAAGATTTAAAATATTTTAACACATTTGAGCCTGGTGACCTTAAATAGGACTCAAGGTCACACCTCTGAACAAACTTTCATTCTCCCATTTAACTGGCCCAATATCAAGACACTAGGCATCTTGGTAACTCAGAATTTCAGGGACTTTTGACCACTGTGTCCCTTAACAGAAAGTCCATGTTTTGAGAAACATCATCCTTTTGTCCTTGAAGGTTGGCCAATGTCATTCATTTCAACAAACTTATTAGTCCTTCATCACAGCATGCTACTGGTCCAATATGAACTTAGGACTCTTTGTTGTTCAGCGGAAGTTGTTAAAAAAGACAGGCTAGACAGACGGAAAAAGGTGAGCAAAGGAAGACTCACCATCGATTGGCCTTCTGTCAGGTGAGCTTAAAAGATAACATTAGTACTAAAGCTGTGTAACTCCAGTTTATTCTTGTAAATATAGAAATACTATAGAGTGTATAATTTTGATCTAGCAAAACAAATGACACAGGTACAGAAACAAAACAAAGGTAGTTATAGTTCTGTTACAACCAACTAATCTCAAAAGTAGTCAACCTATCAGCACACAGTCTATATATAGGAATCATAGAAATGTGTGCCAATGATTACATGATGTGTACAATGGCGTAAACCCTGTCTTGCCTGGGTCAGTTGGATTTTCGGTCACATCTGGTATCAGGATTTACCACTGAACATGTGTAACATGCATATTTACCAACAAAAAAGTTTTTCTGCCTGGATTTTTTACTACATTTTAAGGCAGAAAACATAAAGAGGCTACATGGTATCCAAAACATTTCTATAGTGATGGACTGTCACTAGAGATATAATATTGGATATCCAAAATATTTCATACTGACAATGACAGTGAATGTAAAATTACATTTACAAAAAATTATACATTTTAGCTTATGATCAGCAGGTATTAAATTAAATGTCCAGCATAAAACATGATTCATAAAATAATTCTTAGATGAGCAGATTTTGCATAGACAAGCATTCTCCATTCTTTTTCATCCCAAAAATTATATGTATTTCAAAACTCATTTTTTGTCTGCTTTGGAAATTAAATGGACCAGATGACATTCATGCTCCTTAAAATGCAATGATGAAAACATGTTAAGACAAAATACTGAAAATCTTTTAAGTTTCATTTTTTGCAATGCCAACGATCTATTCTACAACAGATGATCCAAACATGAAAAAAGGACTATTATGGTTCCAGAAAGAGTCTGTCAAGAGAGACAACTCCTGTACAACATGATTATTTTGGTGGGTATTTACATCTGCATGTACTTTTCTGGGTACTCTGGGATTAGTTGTTTCGGTAGTTAATGGGTCTAAATTAAATAGAAGCTCATATAGAGTATTATATCAATGTCATATTTACAATTTGACATATTTTAATGATGGTTGTTATCATCTAATTATGAAAATTTCTTTTTTTTGAAAGTTCAAAAGTATAACAGACTCTAAGATTGTATCATCAAATGTAAACTGTAGAAGTGTCTCTCAAACTGAAAATAAATAAATTGGAATGTTGTACATTTTACATTTTTAAAACGGAGATTTCATGGTCATCAATTTGATCTGTTTTACCTGTACCAGAGCTAATCATAATCTTCATATTATTTGCTGAACAGTATTTCAGTGCAAGAATCACAAAATAGTTTTTAAATATTTCAATATTTCAATTTCTGTGCAAAATATCCAGCTCTAAAACAGTGTAAATGTAAATGAAAATTTGCAAAATTTATGTATATGCCACAAAAGAGTTGTCTAGTACATTATGTATCATACATTGTCTTGGGATAAATCACGATCCGGACAAATCGTAGTCCCCATGGCACATCATCCGTGCTTTAATAGAATACATGACAATCTCAATATCTCTTGGTCTACAATAAATATAATGTTGTCCTAGATGCATAAAACGTCGTGCTGAAGCCCAAAAAAATTTGGATTTCTCCAACAAACAGGTTGTTATTTATCATATCTATATCTAGATAAACTGTATCAGTAAACAATCTTCAATTAAATATGATACATATATACAGCCACATCTCTTAACATGTATTTATATACTGTACAGGACCTATAATATACAGCTTATCATATATAAGCCACTGGACAATTGTACCTACTGTACAGGACATATAATATACAGCTTAGCCACTGGACAATTGTACCTACTGTACACGACCTATAATATACAACTTCGCCACTGGACAATTGCACCTACTGTACAGGACCTATAATATACAGCTTAGCCACTGGACAATCGTACCTACTGGACAGGACCTATAACATACAGCTTAGCCTCTGGACAATTGTACATATAGCTACTGTACAGGACATATATATAATATACAGCTTAGCCACTGGACAATTGTCCCTACTGTACAGGACCTATAACATACAACTAAGCCACTGGACAATTGTACCTCCTGTACAGGACCTATAATATACAGCTTATCATATATAAGCCACTGGCCAATTGTACCTACTGTACAGGACATATAATATACAGCTTAGCCCCTGGACAATTGGCCCTACTGTACAGGACCTATAATATACAGCTTAGCCACTGGACAATCGTACCTACTGGACAGGACCTATAACATACAGCTTAGCCACTGTACAATTGTACCTACTGTACAGGACCTATAACATACAGCTTAGCCACTGTACAATTGTACCTACTGTACAGGACCTATAATATTCAACTTCGCCACTGGACAATTGTACCTACTGTACAGGACCTATAATATACAGCTTAGCCACTGGACAATTGTACATATAGCTACTGTACAGGACATATATAATATACAGCTTAGCCACTGGACAATTGTACCTACTGTACAGGACCTATAATATACAGCTTAGCCACTGGACAATTGTACCTACTGGACAGGACCTATAACATACAGCTTAGCCACTGGACAATTGTACATATAGCTACTGTACAGGACATATATATAATATACAGCTTAGCCACTGGACAATTGTACCTACTGTTCAGGACCTATAACATACAACTAAGCCACTGGACAATTGTACTTACTGTACAGGACCTATAACAGACAACTTAGCCACTGGACAATTGGACCTACTGTACAGGACCTATAATGTACAGCTTAGCCACTGGACAATTTTACCTACTGTACAGGACCTGTAACATACAACTTAGCCACTGGACAATTGTACCTACTGTACAGGACCTATACTAATCTGCTGGGTCACTTGTTAAGTTTATATCATGTAAACTGTACAAAACATATAGAACAGTTTATCTTCTTGACAAGTACAGTGCATTAACATGTAATATAGAGCTGGGCCACTAGACAATTATATATACTGTACAATGTATTATGTATGTTTTCTATAATACATATTATAAACAGCTAGGCCACTTGACAAGTCTATATATAATGTATGTATCTATACTATACATACTGTATACGATATATAACATACAGCTTGTCCCCAATAGCACTGTGTGGCCACATAAATCAACACAATATACATGAAAGGGCACTTGTCTTCCCTGATGGAATGATTATGAAATATGGAGATATTTGTCCGTTTCCCAGTTTTAAATGTTTGCATTCAATAAAAGTGTTTTACAATATTTTGATAACCTCAAACAGACAAACTTCGACAGTTGTTAGGTTTGGTCCCAAGTAGGTTATTATGCTGACTTCATATACAGATATACCACACGTCTTGTAAAATTTGTTTCTCATGGTTTTTACTTCATTTGATAAAATAATTGCATCTGCTGTAACACTTGATAACTCATTGTAATACAACGAAATAAACCATGGGACTAACACTCACAACTAACAATTTTAATGGAACTACAATCAGCTTTTTAAATAAAAAAATATTATACTTTCGGCCATGGGTGCAAAACATGTGGATTTACAAATGAACACATCAGCTCCCTTTCATTTCATTCAAAAACAAAAAGAGGAAGAGAGAAAAAGACTAGAACTAAATTATCTATGAAATCACTATAATCAACTACTAACCACATGGCAAATCACAGTGTGGTAATACAAATTATAGTTTCATAACTATAAATTATTATATGATCATATACATCATGTCATAGTTGTGTTTACTTCAAGAACTCTGAAATGAACATTCTTGCAAAGTTATATAAAAAATGCCCAGCATCGACCATGGATACAAGAAAAAAACTCTCCTCTCCGTTGTACATAAAAAGTGGGTCTAAACTAGTCTAAAAAAAGGCTGCCCTTCACAGACAAGAGTTTAGATACATGCTTTTTGGTCCACTTGTCCTTTCAGGATTTCTGTTAAAACTTCTTTTACACGTTTTTTGCTTTAAAATGATGACATGATTCCATATTAAAGCATAAATAAATAATTTTTAACATTTATTTCAAAAAGTATCATTAAAGAAAAACAAGTAACTCGGATTGATATGTCTTGTCTGTGCCCTGCTTTGACCATCAATGTACATGTCAAGTTTGGTTGGTCTAGCACTTATAGTTTCAGAGAAACTAACTTAAACGCAAAATCTTAATTTTGATGGAGATGCTGACAGAGTCATCAATGGACCATGAAAGGTAGGCCGCATCCAGCATTTGATGCATGGGATGAGATGTACTACCTAACATGCATCTATGGTCTAAGTTTGGTTGGTGTAGCATTTATACTTTCAGTGAAACTAACTTAAACGCAAAAACTTAATGTTGACTTCGTCGCCGTTGCCGGAAAAGCAACACTTTAGTCTCGCTTTCACTACTTAGTGGCTTGGAGACAGAAACCACTGTTGAATTGTCAATTCTCTAGTGGTTTGCCTGCAGAGGCACAGGGATCCTTAAATGATTTTTGTTTTTCTAAATTTTACAATAACTTGATCAGGATAACAGCATCAGGTGACCACACAACCTACGGATGTCTGTTAGAGAGACCATATGTCCTATGTGACAACAAGATCCAGAGATTATCAGTAGAGGTCATATAACTCACGTATGATGTTCTAGTCCACCAAAGTATCAAGATACAGGTGACAATATGACACATGAATCGTCCTCTAAAGTATCGCGATACAATTGTGTACACCTTTATCATAGAGCTTTATTTAAAGGCAAACATTCTCTATAGGTAACAGACAAATATTAAAAGCACTGACATGTAAATTTGAAGACACATGACAATTAAAGTATGTAAAGGAGTCGGACATTGTGTAGGCCAATATTGTGTCAATTGAATGAAATTGCTCAGTCGTAGGTTTGGAACTGCTCCTGAAAAGAAAAGAAAAAACAATAATTTAAAAATAATGAACAAATTATAAGGAAATTAAAGACATGCAAATTTGAAGAAATTAAAGAGACCTAAAATAATTTTGATATTAAAGACATATAGGGTACATATTTTCTTTAAAGGCAAAAAAAACTGTTCCTGTAAAATCAATAATATTCCTGGACTTTTTAATTTTGTTGATTTTGTGGGTAAACCACAAGTTCATACGTTCACAAAATAATTACAAGTTTGATATAAAACAATTTTCCGTTTGGGTGGGTACTGGTAATCCATGTATGATGAATTCATGTACCCACGAAAAGGTGTTTTGTCGGGAAACCACAAAATTTTGGCCCCATGAAAATATCTTTTTCACAGCACACATTATAGCAGTTAAATGTTGAGAGAGCTTATATGATGTAGTTGCATCAAAACAATATGAACAATTCTCAAAACCGTTTGCAGAGAAATATGAAAATGGTAAATTAAACTATTTTAAATGTTACAAATGATTTTAACCCCCCTTAAATACATTACCAGCTATCAATACCCCACACAAACAATGTATAGTATGCTGGAAAATATTCGCCCACATCTTAACTTTCTTCTTTTCTTGCCCTCCATAATGACTATAAATCTATCATTTCAGTCAATATTGGTATACACCATAATAAACACGGTAATTGATGTGAAGAGCAAATGAACACTGGGCAAAAAATTAATTTGATCAGCAAAGGGCAAAAGTTTAAGAGGGTGTAAGTTTCCCAGAATACAGCGTTCATATCTAGAATAACTTTAAAGTGTATCGATTTTAAAGAATGAATACACTAGCAGAGAGCTGATTATACAAACTCAACGGGAGACATAAATGGTTCGGAAAATTAGCTCAGATGATCAGTCATTTCAATAATTGGCTGTTTGGTTAACAGGCGGGACATACTGTAATAATACAGCAGGCTATTTATTCAGGACACAATCAAGGTTTGATAATACATGTACATTGAAATTTGGGATAATCGTGGTTTGGACGTTCAGCATTCTACTGTACATACTGATGTTTGCTGACAAACACTCGTCACTACATCATACAGAAATTATTCAGTTGGCAGATCTAAATCTTGCTCTTGTTTAGACAAAGAACACGTTGGTTTTCTGTGGTGTGATATATATGCATATTATCAAACTGTACGTAATTGAAAGCGGAAGTCACAGCAATCATTTAAGAATTTGTTATGTGGATAGTAATATAAGGCATTACACAAGTTTGTAACTGAAATATACCATTAAGTAATTACTACCAAGTATATATGTGCAACGGTTCGAAAGGATTATGGGATCTGGATAAGTATGAACAAAACTATACCAATAGAAGAAAATCGATGGTCGTATATGTCTTAGCCAATCAGAGGCAATGGAGGGTTGCCATCTTGGATTTTTAAATCCAGAAAAGTATGGCATTAGATAATGTAGGATATCCACCAATAAGATTTAAAATCACAAAGGAGAACAACTTTTCAGAAATGGCCATACAATGTCAATATTTTGGAGTAATATAACCTTTGCTCTATTTCTAGTAACAGTAGTGACTTTGATGTTTGGAAGCCACCTTGGATTACGATCTGATAATATGGTGTTATTCATGTAAGGTATCCACCACATACACTTTACCACCAAACTGAACAGTGGTGGGTCAGAGGAACGTTACAATGTACTTTAACAGTATATCCCCAGTTCTATTTTTAGTAACAGTGACCTTGACCTGATGCATATAACAATGCATTGCTGTATAAAATTTAAGAAAGTGTGGATGGACGGACACCATAAATACTGTCAGGTATCCTCATCACTGACGTGGGGCCTTTTAGTAATAGCAATGTACATAACATTGAAAAAGTACAGCACCGCAGGAAAAATAATGTGTTACAAAATGTATGTTTATCAGTTTTCTTTTGAAACACCTAAAATGTGGCAGACACTAATAGTGATATCAGTTCAAAGCAGTGAAAGTTAAAAATCAAAAAGTTTACTTAATGTAAAAAACAACACTGAAAACAAAAGTGTTTTAATTACCATAGGGTAATCCAACTCTGGCTATGAGTACCACTGTGAAAAGACAAGGAGGAGATAGTTATCTCGGTCACGGAGTTTCATCATCATGTATCTTTTTGGCAGGGGACTTTTGTTCATAGGGTTATAACTGGAAAATGGGATTACCTAGATTTCAGGTTGCCTTGGTCATTTGGACTACCTTACCTCAGTTATGTTGGTCATTTGGTTACCTGTGTTAATTGGTTACTATTATAATTGGGTCACCAGCACCATTAGAATACTAAATTAAATGAATTATTTGTTACCTTGATCATTATAAGATTATCCGAGTCATTTGGTTACTTAGGTCAAAGAAGTTAAATGGCTGTTAAGGGGTTTTATTTGGATGAAAATATATCAATTGGGAAGGCAATTTTCAGGAGTAAGGTGTAAATTTTGGGAATTAGGCATAAATATGAAATACAAGTGAAGTTTCAATTGGGAAGGGGGCCCATTATCAGCTTAGCAAAGTCCCCAGAAAAAGCCCTGCTTGGTCATGGAATTAAGGGTTTCTTGGTAGTGATTGTCACCTTGACAATAGAGTTAATTTTAGGTAGTTAGGCAAATGTGAGGGCCAAGCAACAGTTGAATGTATATGGGTAACTTGACAATGCAGTTAATATGAGGTAGTAGGATGAAAGTGTGGGTCAGATTACAGTTGTATCAAGTTTCATCTTTCAACAATTAAGTGCACACATGGGACATATACAACTATCTCAAATTCAACTGGGATGTGTCAAATGCGGTCAACAGTCTCACCATTTACTAACGTAAACCACAGTGATTCAAAATGGATGTCAGACTATGTTAAGCTGAATATCCCTGGTTATAATATTTGAGACTAAATTTTCCTTTCGGGTCTAGAACATTTTACCTGCCCAAATGGCCACACATAGATCAGGGAGACAATCTTAATACTTACATCCTGTGAAACAGTATCCACGTTAGCGTAGTTTGTATCATCGTCATCAGAAGAATCCTCGCCAGAGGAGTCTTCGGCACCCAATGCTGCTGGTGGCGGACCTTAAAAACATGTCCTCAATGTAAACACATTGCATTTTAAAAGTGTCAATATAAAAGCAAACAGGTCTTGATATGTTTTCATCCATCAGTATTCAATAGTGTATGTCTAGGAACAAGATAAGTGTATTACCTATCAAAATGTAAAAATGGGTGTGTGTTTTGCAGAGCTTTATACTTTTATGTTAAGAGGGGTCAAAACCCGCTCCTATTTCTCTAACTATATCTTCCCCCTTTTTAACCCTACCTATAAACTTCTTTGTTGTCAAAAATAAACAAAGAGACATTACTCTTTAGAAAGTGGGGCACACGCCCTGATTAGTATTTGCGTCCAAATATATCAGTATACAACACTCCACAATCCTGGTAATTTTACAGCAGCCTGTAATCATGATTGTGAAAACATAGCATTATCTGTATTGAAATTGAAAAGGTATTCCTTATTTTTCATTAATTCTGGAAAAAATATTAAAGCACTTTTGCTTTTTATGTATTGCTGAAAATGAACAAAAAATAATAATGAAAATAGAAATGATGAGCAACAACAACACTGAATCCGGTACAAAATGTAATGTTTGATTTACATCCTAAGTGCTAAAAATACTAAGATAAATGTAAGAATTTTAAAACATGTATCCTAAAATGTGAATTTGTTTTAGTTATATTTGTGTGTAACCCTTGTAGTAAGTATCCTCAAGACATTTCTACATTGACAGACATATCAAAAATATGTAATTTCCTAAATCTTTTCCTGAATCTAGTGTCGACCATTTGTTGGCCTGCATGACCTATCCTTTGTTGATGGGCCGCTAAGCATGTAATAACAATAATAGTCCTGAATCTAGTAATTCACTGAAAATATGAAGATTCTACAATACTGCATCTGTATGAAAGACTTCACTGACCTGCATTTGTGGACTTTGCTGAGGACAATTCGTTGTAACAGCTCAAACATATTCTGATTGGCTTGGATGACTGCTGTGGGAGGAGCCACTTCTGATCGGAGCAGGGACCACACACCACCTTCCCACACTTCCTACAGTGGTGCTGTCAAGGGGAGACAATCAAGGTATGTCCATTAAAACAAGGAAACCAAAGAAGGTACATAAACACAAGCCTCCTACTTCAATTCTATACTTCTCATTATTTTTTTATTACATGTATATAAATAACAACATATAAGAAAAAAATAGGAAATTAAGAAAAAAGAAACAAAAATAACGAAAGCAAACTGAAAATGAGAAAGAGGAAAACTGTTAAGGAATGAAAAAAACACCAAGTGTAAGATCAAGGTAAGGAGACTTACCCGCCTGTTTATCACAGAAAACTGGTATTTACGACAATGCATACAGACAGTGGCCTCATCATCTGGTACCCAAACTGGCGAATCATTGGCTGTATCCTGAGTTATTCCCCCTGAAATCAACAGAAATTCAATAAAAAAAATCTGTAGTGTACTGAACATCACAGAAAATAAAATGCTGACTCAGCACAGATATAGATAACATGAGCTTGACTATACATACAACTTATATCAACACTAGACTTTCTTCGTGGTGGTGCCTAAGCAGGCAATACCTTTATACCATATTAAGGCCACCTGTATTAAGAAACCACTTTCAATCTTTCCAATCATAGGTTGTTTTTTCCCCCACATTAACTAAGCTTCCCTTGGGTGATATGCGATTATAGGATTAACAGAAGAAATAGAAGATGTATCTTCAAAATAAATGTACTGGTACTAGTATTTATATCCTCTTGCAATTTGGTTTGTTACAATTTGATATGGAAATGGTGTCAATGTAATGTGTTAGACAACAGAAATGTTAAGAAACAAAAACCTGAAGTGAGTAATGTTAAATAAATTTAATCTTTTCTCCTGTAAAATAGATTGGCATGTATTACCTACTTCCTCATGTTCCCTTACAGATCATTGTAATTTAGTTATACTAAGTTATGTTGGGATACCATTTAAACTCAGCACTTATAGAAGTAGGTGTTTAATGGACAAATCTTTATCACTGTCTCTATTTCAGAAGTTGTTTTAAGTGCTTTGAGTTGGAGTAGCTGGTGTTGACACATTTATTGTGACTTATATGTAGCAGGTCGTGGACACATTTCTTCGTGACTTACGTTTGAGTAGCAGGTCGTTGATACATTTCTTCGTTACTTACATTTGAGTAGCAGGTCTTGGACACATTTCTTCGTGACTTACGTATGAGTAGCAGGTCGTAGTAGCAGGTCGTTGACACATTTCTTCGTGACTTACGTTTGAGTAGCAGGTCGTTGACACATTTCTTCGTGACTTACGTTTGAGTAGCAGGTCGTTGACACATTTCTTCGTTACTTACGTTTGAGTAGCAGGTCGTTGACACATTTCTTCGTTACTTACGTTTGAGTAGCAGGTCGTTGACACATTTCTTCGTTACTTACGTTTGAGTAGCAGGTCGTTGACACATTTCTTCGTTACTTACGTTTGAGTAGCAGGTCGTTGACACATTTCTTCGTTACTTACGTTTGAGTAGCAGGTCGTTGACACATTTCTTCGTTACTTACGTTTGAGTAGCAGGTCGTTGACACATTTCTTCGTTACTTACGTTTGAGTAGCAGGTCGTTGACACATTTCTTCGTTACTTACGTTTGAGTAGCAGGTCGTTGACACATTTCTTCGTTACTTACGTTTGAGTAGCAGGTCGTTGACACATTTCTTCGTTACTTACGTTTGAGTAGCAGGTCGTTGACACATTTCTTCGTTACTTACGTTTGAGTAGCAGGTCGTTGACACATTTCTTCGTTACTTACGTTTGAGTAGCAGGTCGTTGACACATTTCTTCGTTACTTACGTTTGAGTAGCAGGTCGTTGACACATTTCTTCGTTACTTACGTTTGAGTAGCAGGTCGTTGACACATTTCTTCGTTACTTACGTTTGAGTAGCAGGTCGTTGACACATTTCTTCGTTACTTACGTTTGAGTAGCAGGTCGTTGACACATTTCTTCGTTACTTACGTTTGAGTAGCAGGTCGTTGACACATTTCTTCGTTACTTACGTTTGAGTAGCAGGTCGTTGACACATTTCTTCGTTACTTACGTTTGAGTAGCAGGTCGTTGACACATTTCTTCGTTACTTACGTTTGAGTAGCAGGTCGTTGACACATTTCTTCGTTACTTACGTTTGAGTAGCAGGTCGTTGACACATTTCTTCGTTACTTACGTTTGAGTAGCAGGTCGTTGACACATTTCTTCGTTACTTACGTTTGAGTAGCAGGTCGTTGACACATTTCTTCGTTACTTACGTTTGAGTAGCAGGTCGTTGACACATTTCTTCGTTACTTACGTTTGAGTAGCAGGTCGTTGACACATTTCTTCGTTACTTACGTTTGAGTAGCAGGTCGTTGACACATTTCTTCGTTACTTACGTTTGAGTAGCAGGTCGTTGACACATTTCTTCGTTACTTACGTTTGAGTAGCAGGTCGTTGACACATTTCTTCGTTACTTACGTTTGAGTAGCAGGTCGTTGACACATTTCTTCGTTACTTACGTTTGAGTAGCAGGTCGTTGACACATTTCTTCGTTACTTACGTTTGAGTAGCAGGTCGTTGACACATTTCTTCGTTACTTACGTTTGAGTAGCAGGTCGTTGACACATTTCTTCGTTACTTACGTTTGAGTAGCAGGTCGTTGACACATTTCTTCGTTACTTACGTTTGAGTAGCAGGTCGTTGACACATTTCTTCGTTACTTACGTTTGAGTAGCAGGTCGTTGACACATTTCTTCGTTACTTACGTTTGAGTAGCAGGTCGTTGACACATTTCTTCGTTACTTACGTTTGAGTAGCAGGTCGTTGACACATTTCTTCGTTACTTACGTTTGAGTAGCAGGTCGTTGACACATTTCTTCGTTACTTACGTTTGAGTAGCAGGTCGTTGACACATTTCTTCGTTACTTACGTTTGAGTAGCAGGTCGTTGACACATTTCTTCGTTACTTACGTTTGAGTAGCAGGTCGTTGACACATTTCTTCGTTACTTACGTTTGAGTAGCAGGTCGTTGACACATTTCTTCGTTACTTACGTTTGAGTAGCAGGTCGTTGACACATTTCTTCGTTACTTACGTTTGAGTAGCAGGTCGTTGACACATTTCTTCGTTACTTACGTTTGAGTAGCAGGTCGTTGACACATTTCTTCGTTACTTACGTTTGAGTAGCAGGTCGTTGACACATTTCTTCGTTACTTACGTTTGAGTAGCAGGTCGTTGACACATTTCTTCGTTACTTACGTTTGAGTAGCAGGTCGTTGACACATTTCTTCGTTACTTACGTTTGAGTAGCAGGTCGTTGACACATTTCTTCGTTACTTACGTTTGAGTAGCAGGTCGTTGACACATTTCTTCGTTACTTACGTTTGAGTAGCAGGTCGTTGACACATTTCTTCGTTACTTACGTTTGAGTAGCAGGTCGTTGACACATTTCTTCGTTACTTACGTTTGAGTAGCAGGTCGTTGACACATTTCTTCGTTACTTACGTTTGAGTAGCAGGTCGTTGACACATTTCTTCGTTACTTACGTTTGAGTAGCAGGTCGTTGACACATTTCTTCGTTACTTACGTTTGAGTAGCAGGTCGTTGACACATTTCTTCGTTACTTACGTTTGAGTAGCAGGTCGTTGACACATTTCTTCGTTACTTACGTTTGAGTAGCAGGTCGTTGACACATTTCTTCGTTACTTACGTTTGAGTAGCAGGTCGTTGACACATTTCTTCGTTACTTACGTTTGAGTAGCAGGTCGTTGACACATTTCTTCGTTACTTACGTTTGAGTAGCAGGTCGTTGACACATTTCTTCGTTACTTACGTTTGAGTAGCAGGTCGTTGACACATTTCTTCGTTACTTACGTTTGAGTAGCAGGTCGTTGACACATTTCTTCGTTACTTACGTTTGAGTAGCAGGTCGTTGACACATTTCTTCGTTACTTACGTTTGAGTAGCAGGTCGTTGACACATTTCTTCGTTACTTACGTTTGAGTAGCAGGTCGTTGACACATTTCTTCGTTACTTACGTTTGAGTAGCAGGTCGTTGACACATTTCTTCGTTACTTACGTTTGAGTAGCAGGTCGTTGACACATTTCTTCGTTACTTACGTTTGAGTAGCAGGTCGTTGACACATTTCTTCGTTACTTACGTTTGAGTAGCAGGTCGTTGACACATTTCTTCGTTACTTACGTTTGAGTAGCAGGTCGTTGACACATTTCTTCGTTACTTACGTTTGAGTAGCAGGTCGTTGACACATTTCTTCGTTACTTACGTTTGAGTAGCAGGTCGTTGACACATTTCTTCGTTACTTACGTTTGAGTAGCAGGTCGTTGACACATTTCTTCGTTACTTACGTTTGAGTAGCAGGTCGTTGACACATTTCTTCGTTACTTACGTTTGAGTAGCAGGTCGTTGACACATTTCTTCGTTACTTACGTTTGAGTAGCAGGTCGTTGACACATTTCTTCGTTACTTACGTTTGAGTAGCAGGTCGTTGACACATTTCTTCGTTACTTACGTTTGAGTAGCAGGTCGTTGACACATTTCTTCGTTACTTACGTTTGAGTAGCAGGTCGTTGACACATTTCTTCGTTACTTACGTTTGAGTAGCAGGTCGTTGACACATTTCTTCGTTACTTACGTTTGAGTAGCAGGTCGTTGACACATTTCTTCGTTACTTACGTTTGAGTAGCAGGTCGTTGACACATTTCTTCGTTACTTACGTTTGAGTAGCAGGTCGTTGACACATTTCTTCGTTACTTACGTTTGAGTAGCAGGTCGTTGACACATTTCTTCGTTACTTACGTTTGAGTAGCAGGTTGTTGACACATTTCTTCGTTACTTACGTTTGAGTAGCAGGTTGTTGACACATTTCTTTGTTACTTACGTTTGAGTAGCAGGTCGTTGACACATTTCTTCGTTACTTACAATTGAGTAGCAGGTTGTTGACACATTTCTTCGTTACTTACAATTGAGTAGCAGGTTGTTGACACATTTCTTCGTTACTTACGTTTGAGTAGCAGGTTGTTGACACATTTCTTTGTTACTTACGTTTGAGTAGCAGGTCGTTGACACATTTCTTCGTTACTTACAATTGAGTAGCAGGTTGTTGACACATTTCTTCGTTACTTACAATTGAGTAGCAGGTTGTTGACACATTTCTTCGTGACTTACGTTTGAGTAGCAGGTTGTTGACACATTTCTTTGTTACTTACGTTTGAGTAGCAGGTCGTTGACACATTTTTTGATATGTGACATCCATTGTGTCTTTTCTGTAGTTGTGGCTGCATACACTACAAAGGACTTTTTTGGACTGATAATCTTCCATCCATTCCGTAAGGCTGAAACATTGGATACACATCAATAAATCAAAGAAAATCATTTGTATGTATCAGCGGGAGTGTATAGGTAGCCCTACACATTTTATTACAGTACAAGTACTGTATATTAACATTGGGCATTATATTGAGGTTTAAATTTGGGTTGTTAGAGGCCAAACAGCATGAAAACATTGACAGTTTATTTTTATTTATTTTTTTAATTCTAAATGTGTAAAATATGGTACATCTGTATCAAAAAGAGTACAACAAAAACATATAATAACATGCTTTTATTACACACTGTTCCCTTGATCTAGGGCTTCTTAAACCAAATTATTCCCCTGCAATTTCGAGTCAAGAATATAAGACATGCTGTAACCCGCTGCATATCATAAGAGATGAATAATATGGAGTCAATTGTAGAAACAAGGTGTTTTTTTTGTGTCTTCTGCCGAGGGAACATTTTAGAAACCGAAAGTGGTCTGCTGCCCTCAATGCAGCACTTGATAATTAATCAACAGAGGGATGTCCTTTTGGTAGGTGAGGTAATAATTAAGGGGCATTATATTGTGGTTGTACTGCACCTGTAATGTAATTTGGACAAAGCCCTCAAAAAGTTGATAGCAAGGTGACAGATTCATTCATTGGAAGGACATGCTTTGAAATTATTTATGATTATAAAACACACACACATACACTAATATTTTACATTTTGACCACTATTTCATGTTCAACATGTTTTGCCCTTAAAGGAGATTGCAATTTACAATGGGGCAAACAAATTATATAAAATGTATCATGAAAATGTAAAAGACGAACCAGAAAGTATACATGAAAGTACATGTACAAGCTTATGGGAAATACCAACACTTCACAATTGTCAAAAAAGTATGATAAGGTATAGAGAAAGTATGAAGGTTTGTAGTAACTGAGATTCTCCTGTTCTAGTTAACATTCACATACACAGTCTTATACTGACACACTACATACATATTCATAAGGACCAAGCTTCATTTACATCTTTTATCATTTCTCGTAGGGAAGCTGGCGATTTGTAAATGCTGGAACTACTAAAATATTGTAGTATTGGATGGGAAAATATGCATTCTGAAGTAAACTAGAAATTTGTAGGGAAACAACAAGTACATTTCATACAGTGTAGCTCACTTTTCCTGAGGAAAAGGCTAAGTATATAACGGGTGTGTATATAATAAATCACTTACACTATGGGAGATGTTGATTTGTGTGGTTAATACAAGATTGGCCAATCACAAACTTTAATACACCTATATTTATCACTTTCATTATGATTTTTTTGGAATGGGACCCGAGGCTTTGTAATTTCTTTGGAAATGCAACTAAATGGAAAATTTTATCTGTCCTACCTGAAGCATTTTTCTACATAAATACTATTTTGAAGAGAAGACAATAATTTGTCTATAAAGAGCTCAGTTACTGTTTATTTAAAAGTATTATAAACGTAGTAAAAAAATGTATTACCTAATGACAGAGTTGGGCTGGAAATTCAGGCAAACGGAACACAACTTTTGTGTATTTAAGTCATTTAAAGCAAGAAAATCAGTATTCATGTCATGAGAAGCATTCCATAATAAAGACAAATATTTGCAGGGGAATGCCGAGAATATAAAGTTGTAAAGTATATAGATGTATGTTACCAAAATCAGCAAGGGCTGAAACAAAACCACCAACTACAATCAACCATAAAATCCAACACAGATAATGTATTATTACAGAAATATTTTGGGTGGTGGCATTTTTTTTTTATCTCTACCACATGCATCTGTATTTTTTCCCAGTGCCTACTTTACATATATACAATGCACTGTACATGTACAATTATTTTAGACAACATTTCACAGCCTAAGATTTCAGGATAAATATTCTTGACAAGAAGATTACATGTTCCAGCAGTAATGTCAACTGAAATTTTCAATTGTAACATGACACCAATATTTAGAGTTATTCCCCTTTAAAAAAGGTAAATGATAATATGTGAAATTTTCACATGAACATGTATACCACTTCACATTAATAAGGAATGTTATAAAATAGTCAAGATTGTTTCTAGAATTAGTTGGTAGGTCAATTTGGTCCACAAGGGATTTTAGATAAAATACAAAATATATTCAGTAATATTTTGCTAGTGATCCAATTTAATGAAACACCTCTTTGTATGTATCTAGCTATTCTAATACATTTAAAGTGACTGTACTATTGAAAACTCATAAGACATCCAACATTTGATAAAGGTGATTTTGAAAGGAAAATTACCAGAATATAACCTACACTGCATGCACAGTGTATCATCAAGGAATGGAGTTAAGGATTTAAATCACCTTGTGTACAAACATCACTCAACTTAGCCAAACCAAAAGTTGAACTTATAGATTTTATTTAGTTATGCATATGAATTTGAATCTTACCAATATATAAGCAGTTGAATCTTACCAACGTAACTAAATGCCTGTGCAGTTTTCATACCTGAACAGCTCCACGTTTTTTCTTTATTCTCTTGTGAAATTACCATTAATCTTCAACATTCTCTAACACGCATCCTCCAATAAAATCATACTTAATTATTTTGCCATCTTCATTTTTTGGAGTCGCTGAAAAGGTGCCTCGCCTCCCATATGGTTATTTTCTTGAATAGCCCTGACTTGACATCCTCCAGTTAAATTATAATTACCTGTATATTGTATCATACATCCAGGCTTCCTTAAGTTATATCTTTCAGTGAAATTATACTTACTTATTTCGTCGTCCACATTTTCTAACTTGACATCCTCCAGTGAGATAATGTGTTGTTGGTTATACTGAAATGGGGAAGTGAGAAACATAACATTTTGCAATAAAACTGAAGTACCGGTACGTAATGTCATTTTATTATGGAGTCCATATAAAGAGGTCTACTTCTGAACTAATAGAATTTAAAATTATTGTACCCTCCAGAATTACAACTCAACTCTTGGTTCCATTTAACTTTGTAAAGACTATCATCAAACCTAGAAAAATTGTAATTTTTAAATGTGAATAGAATATACACATAATTATTACTAGTCATTGAAATGTCACATATAAACACTGATTGGTTGTGCTACATGAATCTTTTCACAATATATCTTTACCAATCTGAAGAATAAAAACTAAAGATTATACAATTTATTTGTTATAAAATGTCCAATCATCCTAATTTAATTTCCTAACAATAAATCAGTCAAACCAAATACAGACAAAACTAAAATTTAGACTCTCTTCCCTCTCCTTTTCACAAAAATAGATTTAAATTCTAATAATTTGAACAAATTGATAAGAAGAACCTACTCTGTAATGGAAACAGGAAGTTAGGTAGGGATCCTTTAGTTTTAATGGATGTAAAAGAGATTGTGATATATCCCAATATCTATTTTGTATGTGCCATGTATTTTTCTCACCTTTTTTTTGCTGATTAGAATATTGCCGTAAACAAGTATATCGTTGAAGAGGAAGAACTGTCTTGGTTTTGGTCGTTTGCGACAGAGCTTGGTCAATACACCTTCTCCTACAAGAACTCTCCCAGGCACTTTCAGGGGCTGCATAGAGAAAGCAAGTTTGTCAATAAAGAGGAAGAATTGTTTCAGACAGGATTTTGGCTGTTTGTGTTGCGACAGAAATCAGTTAGTACACCCTTCCCTTTTGAGCTTGTTCAGGCTGTGCTCAGAAAAACGTAATGCATCAATTATGTTCAATTCATCCTCCATGAATTATGAGTTGTACCACGATGTATACATGTATCATAAAGAAGATTATCCTTTCTTCCCTATAAGAATCATACATTATGTACTTGGATCAGTGTAATTGTTTCTCTTTTATATGTTAATTCATACCTGCCTACCCCTAATATAAATAAAAGTGGTGATGATCGTCCGTCTTTTGAAAATGAAAAAGAGGCTCATATATATATGATATAGTGTGACATTTTTATCACAAAAAAAAATGTACGAGAAAGTTGATATTAAATTAGTACTTAAAATATTTTAATGATGGAAAAGGTACATTTTACAGTAAGAATATTCATTTTAAGTTCTCGTATTCAGATGAAGCAGATTTAGCAGCTGTTAATAAACTTGCTGGCGACTTGCCATATTCCCAGAACTTCTATGCAGGTCAATGTGCGTACCGACATTTGCAACTTTTTCTCTCATCCAAAACATTTTGTAAACACATATTTTCTATGTATTTTTCTTAATCAACTCAATTTATTTGCTTTTGTTTTAGGGACCAAATAGTGAAAAGGTGTATACATTTTTTTTTTTAAGCTTGAAAAATATACAAATGTCAGTTAATTCAGATTAATTCTACTGCACCTGTCCAGAAGCCCCAAAGCACTGTTCCACAAAGGCTATTCTCCTCGTGTTAGACTCGCTGTTCACTGTCAAAAGAAAAATTTATTAACATATCACTTAATAAAGTGTCAGCACTTCAGAGGAATTCAAATTAATATTGTTAATACAAGAGGCCCAGAGGGCCTGTATCGCTCACCTGGATACCTAAGCAATCATGGCAAACTATTCTCCAAATGAGATCAAGGGAGTATGCCACACCCCAAGGCCAATCCTTGTAGCATAGCTATATTACATTTTTCATGCCCAGCAATTTTATGTATAGTTATGGGGTGGGGATCTCAACTGTTTCCAAGCTTTGACTCAGAAACTAGGTCCCTAGAGTTGTGGCCAGACCCCCGGATCGATTCTAATATTGTGACTGCATTTGTCTCTTTTTGCCAAGCATTTGTGTATATAGTTTTGGGGTGGGGATCTCAACCGTTTCAAAGTTATGACCCAGGGGTCTCCAAGGGTGGGGCAGTCCCCAAAGCCAACCTGGAAGCATATGTGCAATCATCTCTTTATACTCAGCAATTGTATATATACAGTTATAGGGTCGGCCTCTCAACTGTTTCCAAGCTGTGACTCAGAAACAAGGTCCCTAAGGGTTCGGTCAGATCCCAGGGGCTATTCTGATATCATGATTGCATTCGTCTCTTTATGCCCAGCATTTGTATATATAGTTTTGGGGTGGGGATCTCAACCGTTTCAAAGTTATGACCCAGGGGTCTCCAAGGGTGGGGCAGTCCCCAAAGCCAACCTGGAAGCATATGTGCAATCATCTCTTTATACTCAGCAATTGTATATATACAGTTATAGGGTGGGCCTCTCAACTGTTTCCAAGCTGTGACTCAGAAACAAGGTCCCTAAGGGTTCGGTCAGATCCCAGGGTCTATTCTGATATCATGATTGCATTCGTCTCTTTATGCCCAGCATTTGTGTATATAGTTTTGGGGTGGGGATCTCAACCGCTTTAAAGTTATGGCCCAGGGACTATGTCTCCAAGGGTGGGGCCAGACCCTAGGGACATCCTGGAAGCAAATGTGCATTCTTCTCTTTATACTCAGCAATTGTATATATGGTTATATGGTGGGGATCTCAACCATTTCCAAGTAATGCATTTTATTGGCCCCACCCCTTAGCCCGGGGGGTCAGCCCCACCATTTGTACAATTTTGAATCCCTGCCTCCCATGAATACTTCCGACCAAATATGATCAATATCCATGGCATAGTTCTGCAGAAGAAGTCATTTATAGCAATATAACCAAATTGCCCCCTTTTGGCCCCGCCCCTCAGCCCCCTGAGGGGTCAGCCCAACTGTTTGTACAATTTTAAATCTCCACCACCTAGAGATGCTTCCAGTCAAATAACGTTGATATCCATCACTTAGTTCCAGAGAAGAAGTCACTTAAAGCAGTATAGCCAAATACCCTTTTTGGCCCTGCCCCTCAACCCCTGGGGGGCCAGCCACACCATTTGTACAATTTTAAATCCCTGACTCCCAGGAATGCTTTTGATCAAATATGATTGATATCCAATGCACAGATCTACAGAAGAAGTCGTTTGTAGCAATATAGCCAAATGGCCCCCTTTTGGCCCCGCCCCTTAGCCCCCGGGGGAGTCAGCCCCTCCATTTGTACAATTTTTAATCACCATCACCTAGGGATGCTTCCAGTCAAATATGGTTGATATCCACGTCTTAGTTCCAGAGAAGAAGTCGCTTAAAGCAGTATAGCCAAATACCCTTTTTGGCCCTGCCCCTCAGCCCCCTGGGGGGTCAGCCACACCATTTGTACAATTTTAAATCCCTGCCTCCCAGAAATGCTTTTGATCAAATATGATTGATATCCAGAGCACAGTTCTACAGAAGAAGTCGTTGGTAGCAATATAGCCAAATTGCCCCCTTTTGGCCCCGCACCTTAGCCCCCTGGGCAGTCAGCCCCATCATTTGTACAATTTAATCACCATCACCTAGGGATGCTTCCAGTCAAATATGGTTGATATCCACTCCTTAGTTCCAGAGAAGAAGTCGCTTAAAGCAGTATAGCCAAATACCCTTTTTGGCCCTGCCCTCAGTCCCCTGGGGGGTCAGCCACACCATTTGTACAATTTTAAATCCCTGCCTCCCAGGAATGCTTTTGATCAAATATGATTGATATCCAGTGCACAGTTCTACAGAAGAAGTCGTTTGTAGCAATATAGCCAAATTGCCCCCTTTTGGCCCCGCCCCTAAGCCCCCTGGGGAGTCAGCCCTACCATTTGTACAATTTTGAATCCCCACCACCTAGGGATGCTTCCAGTCAAATTTAGTTTAATTCCAACCAGTGGTTAAGAAGAAGAAGTCGTTTAAAGAAATTGTTGACGTACGGACGTACGACGGATGCAACGATATGGCATAAGCTTACCTTGGTCCTTCGGACCAGGTGAGCTAATAACCACATAATGAAATTAAATTAGACCACATAGTCTAACATCAATATGACTAAAATGATAGTATTTCAAAATCCCATGAAACTGGAAGCACTAGTATGCTTATAGTATTGCACGTTTTCAGGGAGGCCAATCGATTCAAGCACCTGTTCTGAACCTGGCCATAGGAAGCCCAAGTTTCCTCTAGCCCGGGCAACAGACTAACACTGTTTGACAGATAGATGTCTCGCACAAGACATCTACAGTAGGCCTATCTGTCAACTTCTGGTGCCCGGGCTAAAGAGTAAAAATCAAGCATGGTTAACAAAATCAAACGACCATTTCCCTACAACGCCTTTTCAAAAAACGGTCCTTGAAACCATAACCCCCTCCCCCTCCACAAATGTACGATGACACATATGATAGTCAAGTACACATAGCCTCTTACTCATGCACTTCAACAACGATGCAACTGTTACAGTACGTTGAAGAGGACGATATTTGTCAAGAAATTAAAAGTTACTGTATTTAGACAACACATTTCAAGAAGTATAACTTGAAATGTTAAAGGAAAAACCGATACAATTTTCTGTCCCAGCCTCCATTATACGGTCTTGATATAAAACAAAAATCAAGTTATCAGACATAAATACTCAAGTGACATTTCTACACACCCAGTCTGTCCACCATCTTGGCAGCCGCTACTTTCGCGTGATGCACTAGGTTATAATTGTGCTTGTGCTCCCTTCAATTTTTTTTTTTTTTTAAATCCATCTACATTTTACGGACTTATTTAATTCTAATTAATATGACTAATTTTACATTATTATGAACGCACTTAAACAGTAAAATTGACGGTTACACTATAATATATTTTCCATATATTTTCAGTATTGTTAACATGGACCTACAAATGTAAATAGATCTACTGAATTAATTTTAACCTTTATAATTTCATAGTAGACCTCAGTCGTCGTATAAGTCAACCCAGGTTCTAAACATGTAAATTTAAGACAACTACTAAAGGTATTTCGGTATATTTATTTTCGTCATCGTGATTCGTCAGAGCCACAGCTAGGGGAATTTGTTACAGCACGGAATTCAATATTAGATTTGCGATATTTAAGTATCCATGAAGGATAACCTTATACCACGGACTTAAATCTAATTCCGTGCTTATACAGATCTATTTATATATTCAAATAAAAACGTCACAACAGAACAACAATGTTTAAGGCCTAAAGAGATGAGGTTTGAGGAAACTCGTTGTTGAGTTTCTTAATTATCAGTACAACCAATAACTGGCTTTACCGGCACCTGACTTAATTAACCGACACATGATTTCACCAATACGTTAACCTGGCTTTACCGGCACCTGAGTTAACCGATACATGACGTTAGCAATACGTAAACCTGGCTGTACCGGCACCTGAATTAACCGATACATGACTTTACTATTAGGTAAACTTGGCTTTACAGGCACCTGACCACTAATTCAATTGAAGATAGGTACAATTCAAATAAAGAGAGGTTCAGATATGACGAATTGAACCTATCTTCAATTGAATTGTACCAATGTTAAATTAAATAGAACCTATCTGCAATTGAATTGAACAAATCTTCAAATAATTGTACCTGTCTATGTTAATCTGGCGTTCCATACAACAGCTTAGTTAGATGAAGACGGTTGCATGCCCAAGCCGGAGATACCACTTAAAGAAGGCATAGACCAATGGGAAAGACTCTTTCACGTAAAATAATCCATCTATGCCAAATCCGAATGTAGTTAAAGATCACTAGAGAGCCTCGTACCACTGCCAACACCTATATACGTGGCATTGGAAACACAAAACGGGACAGTTCACAAAACGGGACTGTACCTAAAACGGGACTGTACCTAAAACGGGACAGTACCAAATACGGCCCAGTTCACAAAACGGGACTGTACCTAATACGGGACAGTACCAAATACGGGACAGTTCACAAAACGGGACTGTACCTAAAACGGGACTGTACCTAAAACGGGCGGGACTGTACCTAAAACGGGACAGTTCACAAAACGGGACTGTACCTAAAACGGGACAGTTCACAAAACGGGACAGTTCACAAAATGCAATCTAATTAAAATCAGATCTCTCATAACACTACGTTATGGAGATCTGACGGAGCCCCATTGAAAAAGGGCGTTCCAGTGACATAACGTAACTTGTAATGAGAAATATGATTTTAATTAGATTGCCCAAAATGGGACAGTACCCAAAATGGGACAGTACCCAAAATGGGACAGTACCCAAAATGGTACTCTTCACAAAATGGTACTGTACCCAAAACGGGACTGTACACTAAACGGGACAGTACACAAAACAGGGCAGTGCCCAAAAACGGAAGTATCTTAGTCCAGCTGTGCTTACTGTTGACTATATAGCAATTTACTTCCGTACTTGAAGTGTTCACACACAATGCTCAATCCCTCCAGATTTATTTTAAAAGTTTTAATTTACAACATATTTTTTTAACCACGATCTGTAACAGGTTCATCCACATACTTGTCCTTCCATTGGAAAGCCCAACTTCAATGTCGCTAACACATTTCAATATTTCGCTCTGAAACTTGAGGAGCCCCAAAATGGACGAAAGCGCTAGCCGATTATACTAGTCTTCGTGTTTTGTTTAATTTATATTTTTACCGTCACATGGACATTTAAAACTATTTATCGCTATATATCATATGTGTGTGTGTATGTGTGCGAAGAGTACAGTAAGAAATGGACATTTACATTTTGTTCTGCTAAAAGTGAAATTGTATTTTTTTTCTTGTAAAAATATTGAAAGTAGGACTCCGTATTTATATAATTGTGTTCTTCCGAATGTTGACGATATCGTCCATTTTGGTGTAATGCTGACGTAAAAATTCGATGTTTAGCCACGATCTTAGATAACTAATCTAATTCCGTGGTTTAGCCCATCTAAGTGCTTAAAAATCCGCTAACTATAAGTAGAATTTTAAAATTTAAAGTGTATGCTGCAGCCTTATAGGGTTGTAAATTATGGTGTTATTTCAGGACAGAAAATGTAATGCTTGAAAGAACACAACATTTTATCTTGAAAAGCAATACAAGGTTTTGAGACTAAAACCCGTACAGACATGTGTACAAGTCTACTTGGATGGACTAGTATAGAATCCTATATAGACACTAAGAAAATGCTGTCCTTACGTACATTTAGGCTATGTAGATTAGATAAGAAGGATCTGTAGTCTCGTGGTTTGTTTTTTACAAAATATGTTCTTGTTGACATAAAATCTTAATTAAGTTCAAATAGACAAGGTTTCGCAGCTGATTAATTAAGAATACTGCATAAGTATAAATTGTTTGAAGTGTTTAATGATTTTATATCTAACTATGCTTTTCCGTCTAAATGTATGTGACGTATTGTATGTAAGGAATACCGTATTTTCAGTAAAGAAAAATTGCCAATGATAGCGATTATTTCACAATTTTTGTTTGCATTTCAGTTGTATAGTAAATAATTGTCATATAGCAGGTACTTTACTTAGTTAATTTTTAATGAATGCACATGTGTGAATTTTTTTATTTTTTTTTGAATATGTTTGTGAATCTTCGATTCGGAGGAAATAAAGAAAGGATAATAATAACCATATTATTATTTTTCCTTATTGTTTTGTTAAAACGCATTTTTTCACCACTGAGTTAGAAGCAGCAATTTTCCGAAACATTTTGCATTTTTTTTTTTTAAATGCTAAACAAAAACAGTAACATCCATATTATATATATTTAAACAATATGTAGTCTATCACGTCTCTCTGCGAGACAGTCATCACATGATACAAGGTGAAGGTCATTGCACACTTCCTGATCTTGGAGCTGAAGGAATTTGACAACTTTAACTTTGAAATGTCTTCGTGTCCTATTTGTGGCCCCAAACTGTCAGTATGCTGTACGGTCGTCAGCATATGGGGGATAATTATGTTGGTGAGTATCCACAGTTCAATAATTTATGTTTATTTTAAGCTTGAAACGTCATCGCGAATAAGTAACACGTCGAACGGTCGGTCACAAGATCATGAAAAGGCCGTCATGAAAAGAAAGATTGATGTCGTAATCATGGTTCACACAATACATGAGAGGGTCTTGTAGGCATTGGTTGGTCATATGCGTATGTTGGACAGCACTAGGAACGTATTTTTTTATTTTATTTTTACAGCCAATCGGCCAGATCATGTGAATAAATTGCATGATTGTCAAATTTAAGTTCACAGGAGATCATGTCGAGGAACATCAACGTAACGTGTGTGTCACGACCTTTGCCTCGGGTTATAACTCTTAATTGAACTGGCATGTTTAACATTGCAGTGAAATCCGTAAATAAAGAATTCAGTCAACTGACTCTATCATTCAACAACAAACTAATTTACTTGAATCACAGGTGTTCGGTTTCTGGAATATATGTGATATATTTAGGTATGGAACATCACTGTGATAGTAAATAATTGGATCCTAGAATATATATAACATTACAGACAATGTTATAAGGGGGTGAGATATCTAGTGGGTTGCGAGACGTAAACAGACCATGTTATATATATTCTAGAACCCAAATATTTATTATAACAGCAATGTTCGATACCTAAAATAAAATATATCATATATATTCCTCAATCTGAGCACCTGTGACTTGAATATGTAGGGAACATCCTTGCCCCAAGTTCCCTATGTCCTTGACACCAGAAATCTATGTAAATGTCTGATGGGTTCCTGGTCGTTTTGTCCTAAATCCACTTCGCCAAAGGATTTTAAGTTATAAATATAATTCAAAATGTTTCTAATCATTAAAACAACTTACTGTTTTCATGTTTTCCGTATACAACTAAACAGGACTAAAAACGTTTCATCTTAAAATATTTTTAGGGATGGGTGAAACTCAGGATGAATGTGATTTAGGGCGAAACAACCTGAAACATATCTGGTGTGGGGCCAGAGCGCAGTTTTATATGAAAGCATGGAATTTTCCGACACCCTGGAATTTGGTGACAGAACGTTAACCTCAATAAAGCCTCATGATCAGTTCTAAGTCAAATTCTACATCCTCAGAACACGTCCTTGACTTAACTTACAATTGTAGCTGTTGATAGGACGTAAAACAAAGTAAAACCAAACATCCTCAGATAGAATTTCTGTATCCAACATACCTCAATATGATGGAATCTATATTATTAGTTCAGAAAAAACATAGGAGTTCATTCTTTGTTCACTCTGACAACTACACATGATTTAACTGTGGTTGGCATTGTGTACTAGTGTGTGGCTTAAAATATCAAGCTCAAACTAGCATAAGTATATCTTTCATATTATTGAATATTCAGTACTGTTTGTTACATTCTTTACTGATAAGCTCAATAACATCATCTGAAGAAAACATGAACAAATCATTTAGATGTAATTTTCAAAGAAAACAGGATATTATTTTTGGTCTTGTGATTCTTGTGATTGGCAAATTGATTTCCTACAAATGGGTCATCATCAACGAAATTTGTAGCATTGACATGTCCCAGACTTGAGTTTGATCTTGAATGTGATCCGTGCATATTTATGGAGAATTAAAGAGACTACACATTCTGATTAGGTAGTTATGTACAGTACAGTGCAATAAACAGTTAATTGCCCTACTAAGTGGATCAATTTAAATGAAATACGTTACACACATAATGA